CCCCTCTTCTTCATGTCTCTTCTACATCAACATGTGTCCCCTCTTCTTCATGTCTCTTCTACATCAACATGTGTCCCCTCTTCTTCATGTCTCTTCTACATCAACATGTGTCCCCTCTTCTTCATGTCTCTTCTACATCAACATGTGTCCCCTCTTCTCCATGTCTCTTCTACATCAACATGTGTCCCCTCTTCTTCATGTCTCTTCTACATCAACATGTGTCCCCTCTTCTCCATGTCTCTTCTACATCAACATGTGTCCCCTCTTCTTCATGTCTCTTCTACATCAACATGTGTCCCCTCTTCTTCATGTCTCTTCTACATCAACATGTGTCCCCTCTTCTTCATGTCTCTTCTTCATCAACATGTGTCCCCTCTTCTTCATGTCTCTTCTACATCAACATGTGTCCCCTCTTCTCCATGTCTCTTCTACATCAACATGTGTCCCCTCTTCTTCATGTCTCTTCTACATCAACATGTGTCCCCTCTTCTTCATGTCTCTTCTATATCAACATGTGTCCCCTCTTCTTCATGTCTCCTCTACATCAACATGTGTCCCCTCTTCTTCATGTCTCTTCTACATCAACATGTGTCCCCTCTTCTTCATGTCTCTTCTACATCAACATGTGTCCCCTCTTCTTCATGTCTCTTCTACATCAACATGTGTCCCCTCTTCTTCATGTCTCTTCTACATCAACATGTGTCCCCTCTTCTTCATGTCTCTTCTACATCAACATGTGTCCCCTCTTCTTCATGTCTCTTCTACATCAACATGTGTCCCCTCTGTGGAAAGAGACTCTGAAAGTTTCAGGAACAAAGATTCTCTCTCTTTTTGATCCATTTCTATAAAAACCTGTCTGAAAATGAGCTGATCAGATTTTGGCCACTTGATGATGTCATAACGATGTTTGTCTTGTGTAACCATTAGCCAATCAGCAACCAAGGTACCCCCCCCCCCTCCTTATCACCTGAATCTCCTCCTAGAGCACCATTGAGTTCTTTGTAACCAAACCTCTCTCGGAGGGGCGTGGGGAGGGGCTCCTTATTTTCATCTAAAGTAACAGACAGAGAATCAGCACTTTGGAAACAGGGCTAAAACAGAGGGGATTATGGGTAATGCTGCAATGATCTGTTTGGTGTTTCAGCCAATCAGAGACAGGCTCTGGATATATCTGAGACCTGTGATATATTGATGAAAAACAGTATAATAGGTGACCTTAAGTCAAGTTTTGAATGCAGGATGTTTACTGGGTGATGTTCACACTGTGGTATTAAAGGTAGGGTCGGTAAGAAAGGAGAAACCAGCTCGAGTGCACTAGAACTTGAAAGTACACAACCAAAATGAATCTGCCGCTTCCTTCAGACTTCCTTACAGAGCCCCTCCTCCAACACACACGAACGCGCACATGACCAATGAGGGCACGAGATAAGTTTGTGCACAGATGGAAGGCTGACAGGCAGGTAGGCCATCCAGTTACTTTAGCCGGGCCGAGGCAGATAACTGGATGTGCTTTTTACAGCGCCACGGCTTACACAGACGATATATTAATATATATTTATTGTCAAAGCATTTAATTTAGTCATGGCTATCGGGATGTTAAGAGCATTCCATGGAATATAACAAAAAGTGTTTCTGAATTGAATTACCTACCCCACCTTTAAGAGGTGGGGTCAATAACTTTGTTGAGCTTGTTTTTATCTCTATTTCCATCTCACTGAACAAAGTCCCGTATGACTGTGAACTGGTTCAGCTGATAAGGCTGGTTATGAATCAAGAGGAGGAGCTGCAGACAGGTGAGGGTGTTAAAGTCCAAGTATGAAGTCAGACTGCCAGACGCCATTTTACACCTGGACGGAGCAGGAGGAGAACAGGGTGAGTGTTAACACCAGGATCTGCTTTCTAACACATTATTTACTCTGTTTTACTGGATGTCAGAACATCAGCGTCCTAGAGTCCAAAGAGACTTCTACAAGTGGTGTGAACTGGTTTTATTTCCTGTTTTCTGATTCACCAAAGCAACATAACATGCGACAGCCCAGCGCAGTCAAAATGGAGAGCGGCCTGTCTGAAGTCTGACTGATTTGATGTATTTGAACCAAGTGTTAAACTTTCCTGTCGGCTCCCAGACCGTAGTGGAGGAAGCAGGGGTGACTCTCTGCAGTCTTCCAGGGCTGAAGCAACACACTTCGGGTTCAATAACCCACTTTTCAATAAGGCTGAGAGGCGAGTTCTTCTTTGGGAGGCCGTTGCATTTATTAAGGTCTTTGTTACAGATCTAACTTTGAAGACACTCGACAGACCTTTGCTGCTGTTTCGTTCACTTCAATAACTGTCTGTCTGTCTGTCTGTCCAACCCAGTCTCACGGCATTTCGTGTTCACCAACACGATTTTTAATCTATTGATTCGTGTTCCCCAACACGATTTGCCCCTTTTTTTCGTGTTGCACAGCACGATTTGTTTTCGTGTTGCACAGCACGATTTGTTTTCGTGTTGCACAGCACGATTTTAAAAGCAATGTATTTCTACTGCCTGCAGCACGTCTTTTTCTCCGGTCGGGTCGAGGAAGACCTGAAGCTGTGTGGTTCATAAAAACATGTTCTTACTCAATATCAAGCCACAATTATTGTTTTTATTTTAAATCGTATAATTTGGGACTTTTGTTGCCGTCTGTGAGGAAAATAAATGGGGCTCAGAGCCTCAGAATACTGAAATCTGTATTTTTTAAATATTTTTTGTCTTCTAATTTGTTATTCTTTTCAAAATAACACACTGTTATTTACTCACCAATAATACACAATTATGCTTGCTTTTATTTATTGGTTTAATTCCATAATCTCTGGCTTTTTTGGCATCCATCAGGGACTGAATTTCAAAATAAAATATCCGGAAACAGACGTAGAAGGGACATTTCGAGCGTTATTGCGATTGTCAACCTTTCTGAGTTTAGGATGGCCGAAGACACTACACTACCCATAATCCCCAGCTATCGTTTAGGACTACAGTCCCGTAAGGTTACGCAGAGCGTCAAACAGCTGTGTGAAATGGAACGAAACCACGCCAGACTATCCAAAACTGGAATCGAACGCCCCCCCAGAACTACACATGCTGGATGCTGGCTATTGTGTTTCGCCAAATGTTCTATGGGACGTCTCTACTGAACGTTTTTGTTTTTCCCACAATTAGAAGTTGCCAGTATTAAACACATTGGCGTTATCAAATGTAAAACTATTATATATTATTTATTATAATTAATAAATGAGTGAAAATCGCTATATATATACCCACATGACAGCTCATTGTTACTTTGTAATTCTACTCCACTACAATTCAGAGGTTAACCTGGTATTTTTACTCCACTGCATTTATTTGAGTTACTTTGCAGATTCTGATTAATTATGTGAAATATAAACAACCCTTAAATCAGACTTTAGTTACACCTGAGTAAAATTCAGGGAAGGTGATTGTCAAGTGCCAACAATCAGGAGAGATATTTGATAGTTGGTGCTTGAGAAGACTAAACATGTATCTGCAATTGATATGAATGGAAACGAGTAATAAAGTATATTCATTACCCGTTATTCTCTACTAATAGTTAATTAAAGACTGTATATTATGGCTATTTTGCACATCCCTTTCAAGATTTTCAAAGGTTTATTGACATATCATATACACAACTACGGTGTAGTTATGCAATGAATGAAACACTTGGGTCACAGGTTCCTCAACAGTGCATTACAAGACATCTATCAATATGTGTGTACCTCCACCATTAAACTGTCATATTCTGCACATTTCTTATTCTATCTACATACATACAAGTATAATTCATATGTATAATATCAGTTAAAATAAGTGCTTCAACATAGTTAACATTGCAGGAAAGCAATATATTAGACGTTAAGTACTTTGTCAGGCTTAATATTTATCTGTAGATAGATACCCCCAACGTTTTTTTCTTATTTAAAAGAAGACCTTAATCTGTTATTTAATGTTTAAATAAAGGTTCATTCGTTTTTCTGTTTTGCACTTCCTCCTATTAATATCTTTGTACATGCTGCACTAAACTGTTTTATTGTAGAGATCACTTTATAGTATCTTCTTGATTTTTTATATTCTATATTTCTATATTTATACTTTCCCCCTATGAAAGTATGTACTCTTAATATTTTTTTAATCAAACACAATAATTCAATAATGTGCTTTAACCACTAGATGCACACAAGGTACACAAATGTTTTCCGGATTTCATATCATATAAACACCAAATCCCAGCATGCATTGCGGCTAAAAACATCCAATAAGCGAGCTTAAAACCATAGCTGAGGATCTTGGGTAATGCCTATGTCCGGTTATTTTTATTTTGAAATGCAGTCCCTGACGGAGGCCAAAAAAGCCCGAGATTATGGAATTAAACCAATAAATAAAATCAAGCATAATTGTGTGTTATTGGTGAGTAAATGACAGTGTGTTATTTTGAAAATAATAACAAATTAGAAGGAAACAAATATTTAAAAAAATACAGATTTCAGTATTCTGAGGCTCTGAGCCCCATTTATTTTCCTCACAGACGGCAACAAAAGTCCGAAATTATACGATTTAAAATAAAAGCAATAATTGTGGCTTGATATTGAGTAAGAACATGTTTTTATGAACCACACAGCTTCAGGTCTTCCTCGACCCGACCGGAGAAAAAGACGTGCTGCAAGCAGTAGAAATACATTGCTTTTAAAATCGTGCTGTGCAACACGAAAAAGAATCGTGATGTGCAACACGAAAAAAAAGGGCAAATTGTGTTGGGGAACACGAATCAATAGATTAAAAATCGTGTTGGTGAACACGAAATGCCGTGAGACTGGGTTGGTCTGTCTCTCTCTCTCTCTATCTCTCTCTCCTCTCTCTCTCTCTCTCTCTCTCTCTCTATCTCTCTCTCTCTCTATCTCTCTCTCTCTCTCTCTCTCTCTCTCTCTCTCTCTCATATAGTGTGTGTGTGTGTCTCCAGTGTTACTGGTGTATCTCTCAGACTGGAGAAGATGAGTGGTTTAAAAGATGAGGAAGAGGACACATCTTCAGTCTCCAGCTGTCTGTCTCTGAAGAGTGACTGGTCTAAAGACAGACCTCTAAACTTCAGTAATGAACCTGGACCCTCAGACACAAAGTAAGAGTTTCTGCTGTAACCTGACCTGAAGAGCATCCAGTTTTTATGTTATCTGATAATCTAACCTGTTCTTTAATGATCGCATCAGCGATAGTAAATAATCTACACAGAGACAGAAGTCAAAAACTGCTCTCTGAATGAACTAATGATGTTTAAAACATGTGTTGTTTCCACAGACAGAGAGCAGAGTCTCCAGTCCCCAGCTGTCTGTCTCTGAAGAGTGACTGGTCTAATCATCCACCGCTAAACTTCAGTAATGAACCTGGACCCTCAGACACAAAGTAAGAGTTTCTGCTGTAACCTGACCTGAAGAGCATCCAGTTTTTATGTTATCTGATAATTAGTATGAATGCTGAGCAACATGTATGCTCTTTATGATATTCAGCTTTTAAAACTTTTATTTTTATAATGTAACTCAATGGGAGGAACCTTCAAATCCTCTTTTAGCTACACTGTGCGCAAAATGCTACTCCTTCCACATACTTTCAGCTAGAGACTTCATTCCAACTTTAAAACGGTCAAAAGAAATTCAGCTGTTAAACTTGCATCCAGCTTTTTTATATCTTTTACACTTTTTGAAATATTTAACTTAGTTTGGAGCTTGGTAAAGAGGCCTTCTTCAGATTTTAACATTAGTGTGCACCACTCGTTAAGTCTAGAGTGCTTTGATCTCAAAACAGAGTGGAGGAGAACTTAAAATTTGCCTAAACATTTTTTTTTCAACCTGCCATAAGTCCCAAACCCTAAACTCCTGTGACTTCATTTGTTGATGAAAATGTAGGAAAACATCTCTTAGGTTGAAAAATGAAAACATTTAAGTGTAGAACTTTTAAAAATGTCTGTTGAGGGCAAGGATGTGACAAAAACCTTTCACATGAAACCCTCTCCTTTCACTGATCACTGATCACATCTCCATGGAAACCTTTGATCTCTGGACTCAGACACAGGTGTTCTGATTAGGAGCTCAGCTCAGACACAGACACACAGGGCCCTTCTCACTTCTCTTATTTTTCATTTCCTCGCTCCTCGGTCTCGGTCTCACCGGAAGTTGATTTGTCTGCGCCATCTTGAGTAGCGTCCCAATGGCCTTATTTTTGCCGGAGGAGCGAGGAGCGATAATGGAGGAGCTATAACCGAGGAACCACCAGACCATCCTCCGATGAAATCCTCAGACACTCGCCCCGCCCCCTTACTGTGTATCGCTCACTGATTGGACGAGGCAGTGCATGCACTGATCTGATGCTTCTTGACATGAGAGCAGTTTCCCAGCGGAGTGAAGAAAACACATGAACCTCACGAGAGTCACTCCTCAGTTTATACCGTGTTTTGTTTCAATTCATGTTTCATTTAGTTACAAATATGTGATATATCTGACCAACAAAGTGCTCAAAAATCATTTTATTGATTTTTTGGAAACATTTTCATGATCGCTTTTTTCGTTTATACATTTTAAGAATGGCGTTTATCTTTTTTGAGAATGAGTTCTTATTTTATTTCATGTATTTGGGTCTACAACAGATGATACAAATGTTTGTGTCAATAAATGTGTACTAACAGAGGCGGGGGTGTTTGTGGAAAGAACGGGGACAGAGCTGCTGTCAGACGATCAGCTGTGCAGCGTCATCACAAACGGACGTCACTTCACGTGACGCTCCGGAGGAAAGGACGTCCCATTGCTCTTAAAACTCATTTCCCTGCTTCTCGTGGTTTCCTTGCGTCTCTCCATGCTTCCCTGGTGGGAGGGACTAGTCGCAGGGAAACGACGCAAGTGAGGGAAGCAAGGAATCCATTTAACCGAAGTGAGAAGGGCCCACAGACTGGAGTTTAACACACTGGCTCAGCCTATTCTATACTATCTGATGGAAACGTCATACACACTTTAACATTTTCCACATATCTTCAAGATTATTGGGGACATATGGTTGCAGTTCAAAAACATGCAGTTAAAATATTTTTTTGCTTTTCCCAGCATTTTTACTTTCTTTTCTTTTTTTACTACACATTCAAGCCCCCACTGTTCATGTAACCTTTCTAACAGCCAGCCACACTACCTATCACCAGGTGTGACTGTGGCTCTGTGTCACTGCATTGGTCCCTCAACTATAAGGTTGCGGTTCCATTCCAACATTCATTTTACTAGCTTTTCTTTTTAATGACTGATTTTAAATGCCTTTTTCTTAATGTCTTTCATTTTTTGTAAAGCACTTTGAATTGCCTTGTGTTGAAAAGTGCTATATAAATAAACTTGCCTTGCCTTGCCTTACTACAATGTATCAGCTAGTTATTGCAGGATAACACATACTTAGTGGAGATTGATTAACTATACTTAAACTATTGCACATCTTTTAAACATTATTGCTAAAAGCCACTTGTTTATACAGCTACAGTCACCATTCAGCTTTTCAAATATTCAAATATTCAAATATTCAGCTTTCTCTGCATTTTCAGCAAAGTTCAGAAACACATTTGCACAGCTTACATTATTCACACGCATTTTCAGAAGGAAATGCCTTTTCTAATCTAACCTGTTCTTTAATTATCGCAGTAAAGAAACTTAGTAACAGTACAGTAACAAAGTTTAAACTCTTGATCCCTGGCGTCATCAGCGATAGTAATTAATCTACATACAGACAGAAGTCAAAATGTGCTCTCTGAATGAACTAATGATGTTTAAAACATGTGTTGTTTCCACAGACAGAGAGCAGAGTCTCCAGTCCCCAGCTGTCTGTCTCTGAAGAGTGACTGGTCTAATCATCCACCTCTAAACTTCAGTAATGAACCTGGACCCTCAGACATAAAGTAAGAGTTTCTGCTGTAACCTGACCTGAAGAGGATCCAGTTATTATGTTATCTGATAATTAGTGTGAATGCTGAGCAACATGTATGCTCTTTATGATATTCAGCTTTTAAAACTTTTATTTTTACAATGTAACTCAATGGGAGGAACCTTCAAATCCTCTTTTAACTACACTGTGCGCAAAATGCTACTCCTTCCACATACTTTCAGCTAGAGACTTCATTCCAACTTTAAAACGGTCAAAAGAAATTCAGCTGTTAAACTTGCATCCAGCTTTTTTATATCTTTTACACTTTTTGAAATATTTAACTTAGTTTGGAGCTTGGTAAAGAGGCCTTCTTCAGATTTTAACATTAGTGTGCACCACTCGTTAAGTCTAGAGTGCTTTGATCTCAAAACAGAGTGGAGGAGAGCTTAAAATTTGCCTAAACATTTTTTTTTCAACCTGCCATAAGTCCCAAACCCTAAACTCCTGTGACTTCATTTGTTGATGAAAATGTAGGAAAACATCTCTTAGGTTGAAAAATGAAAACATTTAAGTGTAGAACTTTTAAAAATGTCTGTTGAGGGCAAGGATGTGACAAAAACCTTTCACATGAAACCCTCTCCTTTCACTGATCACTGATCACATCTCCATGGAAACCTTTGATCTCTGGACTCAGACACAGGTGTTCTGATTAGGAGCTCAGCTCAGACACAGACACACAGGGCCCTTCTCACTTCTCTTATTTTTCATTTCCTCGCTCCTCGGTCTCGGTCTCACCGGAAGTTGATTTGTCTGCGCCATCTTGAGTAGCGTCCCAATGGCCTTATTTTTGCCGGAGGAGCGAGGAGCGATAATGGAGGAGCTATAACCGAGGAACCACCAGACCATCCTCCGATGAAATCCTCAGACACTCGCCCCGCCCCCTTACTGTGTATCGCTCACTGATTGGACGAGGCAGTGCATGCACTGATCTGATGCTTCTTGACATGAGAGCCGTTTCCCAGCGGAGTGAAGAAAACACATGAACCTCACGAGAGTCACTCCTCAGTTTATACCGTGTTTTGTTTCAATTCATGTTTCATTTAGTTACAAATATGTGATATATCTGAACAACAAAGTGCTCAAAAATCATTTTATTCATTTTTTGGAAACATTTTCATGATCGCTTTTTTCGTTTATACATTTTAAGAATGGCGTTTATCTTTTTTGAGAATGAGTTCTTATTTTATTTCATGTATTTGGGTCTACAACAGATGATACAAATGTTTGTGTCAATAAATGTGTACTAACAGAGGCGGGGGTGTTTGTGGAAAGAACGGGGACAGAGCTGCTGTCAGACGATCAGCTGTGCAGCGTCATCACAAACGGACGTCACTTCACGTGACGCTGGAGGAAAGGACGTCCCATTGCTCTTAAAACTTATTTCCCTGCTTCTCGTGGTTTCCTTGCGTCTCTCCATGCTTCCCTGGTGGGAGGGACTAGTCGCAGGGAAACGACGCAAGTGAGGGAAGCAAGGAATCCATTTAACCGAAGTGAGAAGGGCCCACAGACTGGAGTTTAACACACTGGCTCAGCCTATTCTATACTATCTGATGGAAACGTCATACACACTTTAACATTTTCCACATATCTTCAAGATTATTGGGGACATATGGTTGCAGTTCAAAAACATGCAGTTAAAATATTTTTTTGCTTTTCCCAGCATTTTTACTTTCTTTTCTTTTTTTACTACACATTCAAGCCCCCACTGTTCATGTAACCTTTAGAACAGCCAGCCACACTACCTATCACCAGGTGTGACTGTGGCTCTGTGTCACTGCATTGGTCCCTCAACTATAAGGTTGCGGTTCCATTCCAACATTCATTTTACTAGCTTTTCTTTTTAATGACTGATTTTAAATGCCTTTTTCTTAATGTCTTTCATTTTTTGTAAAGCACTTTGAATTGCCTTGTGTTGAAAAGTGCTATATAAATAAACTTGCCTTGCCTTGCCTTACTACAATGTATCAGCTAGTTATTGCAGGATAACACATACTTAGTGGAGATTGATTAACTATACTTAAACTATTGCACATCTTTTAAACATTATTGCTAAAAGCCACTTGTTTATACAGCTACAGTCACCATTCAGCTTTTCAAATATTCAAATATTCAGCTTTCTCTGCATTTTCAGCAAAGTTCAGAAACACATTTGCACAGCTTACATTATTCACACGCATTTTCAGCAGGAAATGCCTTTTCTAATCTAACCTGTTCTTTAATTATCGCAGTAAAGAAACTTAGTAACAGTACAGTAACAAAGTTTAAACTCTTGATCCCTGGCGTCATCAGCGATAGTAATTAATCTACATACAGACAGAAGTCAAAATGTGCTCTCTGAATGAACTAATGATGTTTAAAACATGTGTTGTTTCCACAGACAGAGAGCAGAGTCTCCAGTCCCCAGCTGTCTGTCTCTGAAGAGTGACTGGTCTAATCATCCACCTCTAAACTTCAGTAATGAACCTGGACCCTCAGACATAAAGTAAGAGTTTCTGCTGTAACCTGACCTGAAGAGGATTCCGTTTTTATGTTATCTGATAATTAGTGTGAATGCTGAGCAACATGTATGCTCTTTATGATATTCAGCTTTTTAAACTTTTATTTTTACAATGTAACTCAATGGGAGGAACCTTCAAATCCTCTTTTAGCTACACTGTGCGCAAAATGCTACTCCTTCCACATACTTTCAGCTAGAGACTTCATTCCAACTTTAAAACGGTCAAAAGAAATTCAGCTGTTAAACTTGCATCCAGCTTTTTTATATCTTTTACACTTTTTGAAATATTTAACTTAGTTTGGAGCTTGGTAGAGAGGCCTTCTTCAGATTGTAACATTAGTGTGCACCACTCGTTAAGTCTAGAGTGCTTTGATCTCAAAACAGAGTGGAGGAGAGCTTGAAATTCGCCTAAACATTTTTTTTAAACCTGCCATAAGTCCCAAACCCTACACTCCTGTGACATCATTCCATCCATCCATCTTCTCCCGCTTATCCGTGGTCGGGTCTCGGGGGTAGCAGTTCCAGCAGAGAGCCCCAAACTTTTTTTTCCCTGGCCACATCAACCAGCTCTGACTGGGGGATCCCAAGGCGCTCCCAGGCCAGCGAAGAGATATAATCCCTCCACCTGGTCCTAGGTCTACCCCTTTGTCTCTTCCCAGCTGGACGTGCCTGGAACACCTCCCTAGGGAGGCGCCCAGGTGGCATCCTAACTAGGAGCCCGAACCACCTCAAATGGCTCCTTTCGACACGAAGGAGGAGCGGCTCAACTCCCAGTCCCTCCCGGATGACTGAACTTCTCACCTTATCCCTAAGGGAGACACCAGCCACCCTGCGGAGAAAACCCATCTCGGCCGCTTGTATCCGCGATCTCGTTCTTTCGGTCATGACCCTTCCTTCATGACCATAGGTGAGGGTAGGAACGAAAATGGCCCGGTAAACAGAGAGCTTTGCCTTCTGGCTCAGCTCCCTTTTCGTCACAACAGTGCGGTAAAGCGACTGCTGTACCGCTCCCGCTGCTCCGATTCTCCGGCCCATCTCACGCTCCATTGTTCCCTGACTCGAGAACAAGACCCCGAGATACTTGAACTCCTTCACTTGGGGTAAGGACTCATTCCCTACTTGGAGTGGACAGTCCATCGGTTTCATGCTGAGAACCATGGCCTCAGATTTGGAGGTGCTGATCCTCATCCCAGCCGCTTCACACTCGGTTGCGAACCGATCCAGTGAGTGCTGAAGGTCGCAGACCGATGAAGCCATTAGAACCACATCATCTGCAAAAAGCAGTGGTGCAATCCTTAGTCCACCGAACTGCAGACCACCTCCCCCACGACTACGCCTCGAAATCCGATCCATGTATATTACAAACAGGATTGGTGACAAAGCGCAGCCCTGGCGGAGGCCAACCCTCACCGGAAATGGGTCCGACTTACTGCCGAGGACCCGGACACAGCTCTCGCTTTGGGAGTACAGAGATTGGATGGCCCTGAGTAGAGACCCCCCTCACCCCATACTCCCGCAGCACCTCCCACAGTAACTCCCTGGGAACTCGGTCATACGCCTTCTCCAAGTCTACAAAACACATGTAGACCGGATAAGCGCATTCCCAGGCCCCCTCCAGGATCCTTGCGAGAGTAAAAAGCTGATCCGTCGTTCCACGACCAGGACGGAATCCGCATTGTTCCTCCTCAATCTGAGGTTCGACAATCGGCCTGACCCTCCTTTCGAGTACCTTAGAGTAAACTTTCCCAGGGAGGCTGAGTAGTGTGATGCCTCTGTAATTGGCACACACCCTCTGATCCCCCTTTTTAAAAAGGGGAACCACCACCCCGGTCTGCCACTCCTTCGGTACTGTTTCCGACTTCCATGCAACGTTGATGAGACGTGTCAACCATGACAGTCCCTCAACACCCAGAGCCTTCAGCATTTCCGGGCGGATCTCATCCACCCCCGGGGCTTTGCCACTGTGGAGTTGTTTGACGACCTCAGTGACCTCCCCCCGGGAGATTGGTGTTGATCCCCCGTCATACTCCAGCTCTCCCTCGAACATAGAGGGCGGAGTTGTCGGGTTCAGGAGTTCCTCAAAGTGTTCCTTCCAACGCCCTAACACTCCATCAGTTGAGGTCAACAACGTCCCATCCTTACTGTACACAGCTTGGATGGTTCCCTGCTTCCCCCTCCTGAGGTGTCGGACAGTTTTCCAGAACAACTTTGGTGCCGCCCGAAAGTCCTTCTCCATGTCTTCTCCGAACTTCTCCCACACCCGCTGCTTTGCCTCGGCCACGGATGAGGCTGCTGCCCTTCGGGCCTGTCGGTACCTTGCAACTGCCTCGGGAGTCCCCCGGGATAACAAATCCCTGAAGGCCTCCTTCTTCAGTCGGACGGCTTCCCTGACCACCGGTGTCCACCAGGAGGTTCGAGGGTTACCGCCCCTTGAGGCACCTAGGACCTTGAGACCACAGCTCCCCGCGGCTTCGGCAATAGAGGCTTTGAACACCGACCACTCTGGTTCAATGTCCCCAACCTCCACAGGAATGCCCGAAAAGCTCCGCCGGAGGTGTGAGTTGAAGGCCTCCTGAACTTGGGCCTCCTCCAGACGTTCCCAGTTCACCCGAACTACACGTTTGGGCTTACCAGGTCTATCCAGAGGCTTCCCCCGCCACTCGACCCAACTCACCACCAGATGGTGATCAGTTGACAACTCCGCCCCTCTCTTTACCCGAGTGTCCAAAACATACGGCCTCAGGTCCGATGATACGATAACGAAATCGATCATGGACCTTCTGCCTAGGGTGCTCTGGTACCACGTACACTTATGAGCATCCTTATGTTCGAACATGGTGTTTGTTATGGCCAATCCATGACTAGCACAGAAGTCCAGTAACAAACCACCACTCCGGTTCAGATCAGGGGGGCCGTTCCTCCCAATCATGCCCCTCCAAGTGTCTCCATCATTGCCCACATGTGCGTTGAAGTCTCCCAGCAAGATTAAAGAGTCCCCTTCAGGAGCCCCATACAGGACTCTTTCCAGGGTCTCCAAGAAGGCCGTATACTCTGAACTGCTGTTGGGTGCATAAGCACACACAACAGGCAGAGTTTTCCCCCCCATAACCCGCAGGCGTAGGGAGGCGACCCTCTCGTCCACTGGGGTAAACTCCAACAACGAAGCACCTAACCGGGGACTTGTGAGTATCCCCACACCCGCCCGGCGCCTCACACCTTGAGCAACTCCGGAGAAGAATAGAGTCCAACCCCTATCCAGAAGTAAGGTTCCAGAGCCGACGCTGTGCGTAGAGGTGAGCCCAACCAGATCCAACTGGTAACGCTCCACCTCCCGCACAAGCTCCGGCTCCTTCCCCCCCAGATAGGTGACGTTCCACGTCCCCAAAGCCAGCTTCTGTCGCCCGGGTCTGGTCCGTCGAGACCCTCCGCTTTCACTGCCACCCTTCTGGCAGCGCACCCGACCCCATCGATGTTTCCCGTAGGTGGTGGGCCCGCGGGACGGAGAAGCGGAGGTGTTGCCCACGTTGCCTTTTCGGGCTGGGCCCGGCCGGGCTCCGTGGCAAGCCCGGCCACCAGACGCTCGCCGACGAGTCCTCCTTCTGGGCCTGGCTCCAGAAGGGGACCCCGGGCTTCCTCCGGGCCGGGTATCCTCACTTCTTTGTTGTTCTTTCATGAGGTCTTTTGAACCAATCTTAGTCTGGCCCCTTGCCTGAGACCAATTTGCCATGGGAGACCCTACCAGGAACACAAGGTTCCAGACAACACAGCCCCCAGGTTCATCAGGGCACACAAACCTCTCTACCACGGTAAGGTGCTGGTTCTTCAGAGAGGCTTTAATTATCGCAGTAAAGAAATTTAGTAACAGTACAGTAATAAAGTTTAAACTCTTGATCCCTGGCGTCATCAGCGATAGTAAATAATCTACACACAGACAGAAGTCAAAAACTGCTCTCTGAATGAACTAATGATGTTTAAAACATGTGTTGTTTCCACAGACAGAGAGCAGAGTTTCCAGTCCCCAGCTGTCTGTCTCTGAAGAGTGACCTGTCTAAAGAGGAAAATCCATACTTCAGTAATGAACCTGGACCCTCAGACACAAAGTAAGAGTTTCTGCTGTAACCTGACCTGAAGAGGATCCAGTTCTTATATAATCTAATATGTTAAACTGTTCTTTAATAATATCATGTGTGCAGTATAGTACAGAACAAAGGCAGCAGAGCTAGCTAACATTATTTGAGGTTATTTCAATATGCATTGATAGCATCATTGTATCAGTGGCAGAACATGGTTTTAAATGGCAAAGATATTGATAAATACTCACTAGAAACTAAATATATCGTCCAAAACATGTTTTACTACTTGGGCATGTTTATGATGTATTTTAAAGATGTTTCTTAATGATAGTGATGACCTGGTGAGCTGGTTGTGTTTAGCATTAGCAGATATAACAGAGTTGTGTGATTACATGTAGAGTCAATGCAAAGACCCAGATCCGTGCCTGGCAACACCAAGAAAGTGAAGAGGTGAAATTCATGTCAGCTGCGTATTCGTGCAGCGTGACACATTTCATCTTTCATTTCATTTTTATTTGTATTTGTTCCGTTCATGGTATGCACAACTTAACGTATAACAAACATTTACAAAACACGTCTCTATGAACACACCTTTGACCGAAAAGGAGCAGGGAGCAGAAAATAATCTTCTATGACCTGCCCCTTTCTAAAAACATAAACAGATGGTCTGTCCTTCATATGTTCTTATTCACAGCCACACATCACAGCATCGTAGGATAATAAGAGAAACACAAACACGAACTAACAAAAATACTTAGTTCCCACTTGACAGTTAACGGAAAGAAACAAAACAAAACACCAAAACATCACATGAACAAGGAAAAGTGCAGCACCCTCACCTGAGTCCTACTGGAGGAGAAGAGTCTTGAGAGAGACGTTTGTGACGCTCTGCCCATTGGTGAGAATCAGCTCCACTAATGTAACGTGCTGTAAAGGATGTGTTCATCTCCACAGAGGGAAGAGGAAGAGTGGTGTTCCTGTGGAGGAGCAGCTGTCCAGCTGTGCTCTGTGTCAGGACGTCCTGAAGGATCCAATCTCTACCAGCTGTGGACACTGGTTCTGCAGACAGTGCATCACCTCATACTGGGAGCAGAGACCTCCATCAGGAGACCCCTCCTGTCCCCAGTGTGGAGAAAGACCCAGAACCAGAGCTGGACTGCAGACAGCCAGCCAGACCAGAACTGTACGAGGTAAGAGGCCGAACACACGCAGCGTTGTATTCCTCGTCCTGGTTCCTTTGTTTCTGAATATGTATACTGTTGTAGAGCAGAGACAGTAAGCTGTTTATACAACATTTAAACTCAGTCTGTTGTTTGTTGTTTTATTGTTATAATTAGATTCTCAGAGCATTTTCCTCATTCTCTCACGTTCCCTTCTCTTCCAGCAGAACGTGGTCTGCAGGAGGTTCTAGATGAACATAGGCTCAGTCTGAGGAGGAGATGTGAACGTGTGACTGAAGGAACTGGTCAAAGTGAAACCCTCCTCAACAGCATCTTCACTGAGCTCTACATCACACAAGGCCAGAGTGAAGAGGTTAATACCCAACATGAGGTGAGGCAGCTGGAGACAGCTTCCAAGAAGAAGCCCCTCCAGGACACTCCAATCAAGTGCCAGGACATCTTTAAAGCCTTACCGGACCAACAGACTCCCATCAGAGCGGTCCTGACCAACGGAGTCGCTGGAGTTGGAAAAACCTTCTCAGTGCAGAAGTTCACTCTGGACTGGGCTGAGGGTTTGGGAAACCAAGATGTCAGTCTGGTGATCCCGCTCTCCTTCAGGGAGCTGAACCTGGTCAAAGGAGAGCAGTACAGTCTTCTCAGGCTGCTCCATGTTTTCCATCCAACCTTACAGGAGGTCACAGCAGAGCAGCTGGCTGTCTGTAAAGTGCTGCTCATCTTTGACGGCCTGGATGAAAGCAGACTTTCTCTGGACTTCAGAAACAGTGAGGTTGTGTCTGATGTCTCTCAGCAGTCCTCAGTCAACGTGCTGCTGACAAACCTCATCAGGGGGAAGCTGCTTCCCTCGGCTCTCGTCTGGATAACTTCCAGACCTGCAGCGGCCAATCAGATCCCTCCTGAGTGTGTGGACAGGGTAACAGAAGTACGAGGCTTCACTGACGCCCAGAAGGAGGAGTACTTCAGGAGGAGATCGAGTGATGAAGACCTGTCCAGCAGAATCATCTCTCACATCAAGAGCTCCAGGAGCCTCCACATCATGTGTCTGATCCCAGTCTTCTGCTGGATCACTGCTGCAGTTCTGGACCACATGTTGACTACAGACCAGAGAGGAGAGCTGCCCCAGACCCTCACTGGCATGTACTCACACTTCCTGCTGGTCCAGACCAAGAGGAAGAAGCAGAAGTATGAAGAGGGACATGAGACGAGTCCACAGCAGCTGACGGAGGCTGACAGGGAGGTTCTTCTGAAGCTGGGGAGGCTGGCGTTTGAACATCTGGAGAAAGGACACATCATGTTCTACCAAGAAGACCTGCAGCGCTGTGGTCTTGATGTCACTGAGGCCTTGGTGCACTCAGGAGTTTGTACAGAGATCTTCAAAAGAGAGAGTGTGATCTTCCAGAAAACAGTCTACTGCTTTGTTCATCTGAGCATTCAGGAGTTTCTGGCTGCAGTCTACTTGTTGCACTGTTACACCAACAGAGACACAGAGGTACTGAAGGACTTCCTGCAGGGAGACTTTAACAACAACAGAGATCAGGATTACCCATCCCTGGATGTCTTCCTGAAGGGAGCCATGCAGAAATCCGTCTGGAGTGAAAATGGCCACCTGGACCTGTTTGTCCGCTTTCTCCACGGCCTCTCTCTGGAGTCCAACCAGAGTCTGTTAGGAGGCCTGCTGGGTCGCACAGACAACAGACCAGAAACCATCCAGAGAGCCATCAGCAACCTGAAGGAGATGAGCAGTTATAAAATGTCTCCCGACAGGATGATCAACATCTTCCACTGTCTGACAGAGATGAAAGACCTCTCAGTACATCAGGAGATCACAGAGTTCCTGAAGTCAGAGAACAGATCAGAGGAGAGACTCTCTGAGATCCACTGCTCTGCTCTGGCCTACATGCTGCAGATGTCAGAGGAGGTTCTGGATGAGTTTGACCTGGAGAAGTACAAAACATCATTGGATGGACGACATAGACTGCTTCCAGCTGTGAGGAACTGCAGGAAGGCCAAGTAAGTCCAGATGTGATTAACTTTGTAATCTAAAGTGGATCAGGAGTTTAATTATTCAAATAAACACGATAACATTTCTGCTGTTTAAATACTGAGGGCAAAATAAAACCAACACTGTTCTTCTATTTATTTAAAATTTATTTAAACTGAAGCGTTTCTCTCTTCATATTGAGTGAAGGAGGCGACATGTCAAACACATGAAGGACTTGAGAGGTTTCTCAGCATGTGATCACACCACACAGCAGGACTTACAGTTATCACAGAAACATGTTATTATTACTTTCTTTGCTTTTTAAGAAAATATTCACAAAACATTCAGAACAAAATAAACACATCTCAGTACATAGATGAACTACATAACAGATGACCAATCAGAAAAGACACAATAACATAATAGTATTAATAATATTAGAAATAAAAGAATGGATACATTATGAATACATTATGAATACTCAGGTACACATTAATTATATTCACTATATTGTTCTACACTGACCCATTCCTCCCCCCTTTCCTCAAAGATATGCATTTGGTTTCTAATCTAGTTGATTTTCTCCGTTACATAGATTTCATTTACTAAGTTATTCCATTGTAAGTTTACTAAGTTATTATCTTTCAGACAATTCCTTGTCATTTGTTTGATCTCTTTTCTAATGACCAGAAATAGATAGGAATCTTTTTGTATCTCCTCTGGTGTTCCCCCAGTAATAGGGACAATGGGTTTTTGTTGAGAGATCAAGATATTGGACATTTCTCTTCAAACTGTTTCCCAGAAGTCTCCCAACACATTACAGGCCCAGAATATATGTGTCTGGTTTCTGCTCAGCGCGTTCTCTCCAGCGTTTGGAAGTGAGGCTTTCTTTGTATTCACTTTGAATCTGGGGTGTCTTAAAGTGTGGAATTAAAAGCTTCATGTGTATTCTTTCCAGTTCAATCAGGAGAGACATTGATGTATGAAATACATATTTATTACTGGGACACGTCATATGAATGAAATAATGATTGCCAGAATTGAGACAGGAGAATGGAATGGTGTTTGGCGATTAGGCCCCGGTTTGCAGGATTATCATTCAGGAGGGGAAGAACCGCTCCGAAGAAACACCCGGGGTCTAGACACTGGTGGTGGTGATAAGTAGGTGGGACCGGTCTGAAGGGAGAAGGATTAGCTTGGTCCTGTAGGAGACGGGAACCGAAAGGGGTGGAGGAGGGTTGCGTATTGTCACCTGGAATGACAGCTGACAAGAGGGAAGAGCAGATATAAAGGGATTAGTGGGTGCAACGATAGGCTTGTGAGAATGGAGAGAGGAGTGATTGGTTAGCTGGGCAGTGACGCCCCCGATCACTTAATGAGGGAGGAGAGGGTAAAGAAGTGACGTGTAATATGAATGCAGAGCTTGGTCTTCCTGCTTGAACTTGCACTAAGCTTCATTTCAATCAGGAGAGACGTTGATGTATGAAATACATATTTATTACTTGGACACGTCATATGAATGAAATAATGATTGCTAGAATTGAGACAGGAGAATGGAATGGTGTTTGGCGATTAGGCCCCGGTTTGCAGGATTATCATTCAGGAGGGGAAGAACCGCTCAGAAGAAACCCCCAAAGAAGTGAAGTATGACATACTGAGCTGTAATGAGTTTCTTACCTTGTGGGCTGACTGCGGTGATCTATGGATGAAATGAGAGATTAACATGTGGATTAAACAATCGGCCGGAATCACTGCCGGGTTTACTGTACATCATAAGATGCTGACCCAAAGGTCGACGGCCGGAATCAGCGCCGGACTTACGAGAACACTACCACTAAACAACGGCCGGAATCACTGCCGGGCTTACGTACTACCACTAAAGGCGTGTGGCGTAGTGGGTTGTCCGTAGGTGTTCGGATCAGGGGGTCACAGGTTCAAACCTCGCTGCAGTCAGCATGTCGTTGTGTCCCTGGGCAAGACACTTCACCCCAAATTGCTCCTGTGGGGATTGCCCACAGTATTGAGTATGTAAGTCGCTTTGGATAAAAGCGTCTAACAAGTAACATGTAATAATAATAAACAACGGCCGGAATCGCTGCCGGGCTTACTGTACATCATAGGATGCTTGAGCCGACGGCCGGAATCAGTGCCGGGCTTACGTACTACCACTAAACAACAGCCGGAATCGCTGCCGGGCTTACTGTACATCATAAGATGCTGACCCGGAGGTCGACTGCCGGAATCAGTGCCGGGCTTACGTGAACACTACCACTAAACATTGCCGACACGATGGTCGATGACCTGCGATGCAGGGTTAAACATACACAGATGAACACTACCACTAAAATGCATAAATACCAGGTTAGAGAGAGATCTTTGGATGGCCGTGCGACGTTGCTGTCCGGGCGAATGTAGGATGTGAAGGCAGAGGAGGACCACCGTCCGGTTGTTGTAGGGATGAGGAATAATTACCTTGATTGCGGCAGGGTTGCTGCACCTATCCTGGACGAAGCCCTGAAATGCTATTAAGACACCACCACTAGTTATATGCATGTTTACCATAGGTAAACTGGAGAGATCTTTGATTGCCGGCACGAGCCGATGTCCGGGCGAAGAGGGAGATGTAGACAATGTAATGCAGCTGTTAGCTTGAGTACAATAATGCATGAATATCATACCCTGGTTTATCGTAAGCCATGTGAGCATGAAACCAAATATAAATGAGTGCAATATGCGCAGCATAAAATGATAGGACTAGCTTAATTAGCAGTTTAATTACGCCACGGTGAGACATAGGATTGGGTGATTAGACTGTCTTCTATCATCTTACATGAACTTCTCTTTCTCCCTGAAAGAAACCCCCCAAAACCACGGATGGGGCAGCATCCGTGAATAAAAAAAAAAGAAGACTCATTGAGTGTCTGAGTGAGTAGATAAGGCCGCTGCTAATGTGTGGCGTTAATGGGGGTAGGGGGGGATGGTTCGAAAGATTATCTGCCACGTGGTTCCTGGCGCGAAGTAGTGGCAAAGCTGCGGTTGCGCCTGGGGCATACAGACCTCGGATGAGCGTCCTTGCAGGAACTGCAGATGTGGAGGAATGTACAATATGGGTGGGAGCACACGTTTTCGTTAAAGTTATGACAAATCTTCTCGTCTTGCCTATGCTGCACCTGACGGCTTTGACTATTATTCCCGTAAAACGGCGTGGGAAAGACTCTAGGCCCGGAGAGAGGTACCGAAGGGCAGAAAGGGGAGGTGTGGCCCTGCGCCCCGCAGCTGTTGCACGTAGCGACTTGATGGCCGCCGGTAGCCATCACGAGCAGCTCGGTGTCCAGCATGGACCAATCCAGGCGAACGTTGTGATGGGCTAAGTGAAGCGCTGCTTTGCTTGAAAAACTTTTATGGTAAAAGTAGAAAACGGATCTTCCGTATTTAAGGTGAAGATCACCGATCATGGCCAGATAAGCATCTAATTCGATCCTTCTTTCGGGGTAAACTGAACAGAGAACGTCCCGAAAGATGCCAAAAGCAACCAGAAATTGCCCTATGCTGAGGTCTTTGAGGAGCCGGGGGTCTGAAGACTTGAAGACGGCAGTGATGCTTCCTCCTGTGGCAATGGACTTGTCGCACTCCGGGGAAGGCAAAATAAGGCTGACGAGATTAATGTCTTTCCCTTCGAGAATTTTAGCTCTAAACCGTGAGGAAATGTTAGCGGCTTGGGGAATGTGAATCCTGCCTGAAGGAGGAGCTGGGAGGGCGGAAGCCAGGGAGTGAGAGGGAGCTACCGCTTGTGGATGTAAAAGACTGACCCGGCATAAACCCTGGCGGTACCGAAGCAGAAGATCCGGCCCTGTTCGCGGAAGAGGTTGAAGCTCCAGCAGGGCCCTTTTCCATGGACTGGAGGCGAGCGTTGATTAGCAGCAAGGAGCTTGCCAGAGATTGCAGGGTATTTGCTAAGCTAACGTCCGTGAGGGGCTGGTTTCCGGTGCTCCCGGGCTGGTCGGCGCTGGGGTGAGCCTGGGAAGGGGTGGATTTTTTCGACGAGCGAGCTCGTGGAGGACTCGCCTTCCTTGTCCTTTTTCCCCCGCGGCTGCTCCCGCGCCCTCACCCTGATCTCTCGGGAGAGCTGGCTGGAGCTGCTGGCTTGGGCTGGGGGACCGCGCCGGAGACTTGGTCCGAGAGCTCCCGAAGCTGGGAGAGAGGGAGATCTGGGGCTGCAGAAATACCCTGCTGCAGTAGATGGGAGAAGAGGAAGTCTGCCTCTGCCGTACGTGAGCCGCCACGGGAAGCCAGACGGGCGCTCATGCGCCGGTGGTTTGAGGAGTTGGAAGCTACTTCTGGAGGTACGTCGGAGCCAGGATCGAGATCCTTCGAAAAAGGTTCGTTGTCGGAAAAGTCTGAATTAGACATCTTGAGGTTATATATTCCTGAGTGTTTAACGGAAGAGGAGTATTAGTGTACTACCATTTGCGTATTGTCACATGGAATGACAGCTGACAAGAGGGAAGAGCAGATATAAAGGGATTAGCGGGTGCAACGATAGGCTTGTGAGAGCTGAGGAGTGACCTCCCCGATCACTTAATGAGGGAGGAGAGGGTAAAGAAGTGACGTGTAATATGAATAAAGAGCTTGGTCTTCCTGCTTGAACTTGCGCTAAGCTTCATTAGTTTGAGTTGGTTGTGTTATGAATGTTTCTGCACATTTGTTCCCAATCTACTGGTATATTGCAGGATCATTCATTTCCCCATTGATCTGTTGCATTAATAATACTGTGTTCATCTTGATTTTTTAATTGTAATATTTGAACCATCTTAGTTAGAAATGTTGTTTCCACTCCAGGGTCATAAACTGTAAGCATGTATTTTATCAATGGCTTGATGTCATGAAAAGATCTCTTTTTTAAATGCCGGAAAGATAACTCATCACTGAAAGAATCTGAATAAATGGTATTTCAGTAAATCATATTGTAACGAACGCTGTTCAAAGGATTTCACGTCTTTATCACCGAACATTTGTCCAAATGTCCTCAAGCCCTTAGAAGCCCATAGTTTAAACATGTGATGGTCTTTGTTAAGTTTGTGAGGAGGGAAGTCTTGATCAGTTCGCATTCCTTTCAGGAAGATTAAATCTTCATATAGTTTTTGATTACGACAGACTTCCCTCCAAACCTCAAGTGTAGCAACAACCCATTTTGTAATGATTACTTTCTAGTAGTTTCTTTATCATTAAACACATGTTTTGATCACAATGTGTTCGAGTTTAAAATCAGATCTATATAATTTCCCACCAATAACAGAGTTATGTCTTAATGCTGATATACTGGGAAAATCTGATGGTATCAAGTTGAACATATTGAAACTTTATTGGTTTGTTAATTGTGTTTGTGTGCGCAATAAATGTCCAGATGCTCAGAGAAGCCAAAACATCCTTCATCCATCATTCACATCCAAATGTTAACTAACATTTAAATATGTACATCTCTAATATTGTCAAGTGATTCATTTAATTTCTGTTTCTTTTGGCAACAGTCAGTGACAGCAGGAGCACAGATCAGATGTGATCAGATCACACTGACAACTCATTACACTCTATTATCATATATTATTATACATTATATTAAATGCACTAACAGCAAAGGTCTATCTGTAGAAAAGGCACCAAAGTTATAGTTATATACAGGGTTCAAGTTATGTGGGAGCTCCCACGGACGCAGTGAAATCATACATCTGTGGGGGTCGCGAATAGAGTGGCGAAGTCCCTCCCCTTCCGGTGGACCTCCATGGGACCTTATTTGGAAAAAATTATGTATTGAAGTCAATGGAGAGAGAAAGATTATCTTTCGATCCCGTTTGAATTGTGCCACGAATTACACATATGATGTTTGTCAATTTAAAAGATAATTTTGCAAGTCAAAAAGAAAAGAATGTGTCGTAAAACTGTGAAGTAACACATTTGTTTGTGTGAAACGCTGAATGAACTACATCTCTGGTCTTGCACAACAACACACGTCACCAAGATGGCCGTCACTACTGTCTTGTCAACAAAAGGATGAACTATCCTCACTATCACCACAATGAAACAGGTCCAGAAGAATGTCATTCAAAGCTGCCTGCCTGCCTTCCTTTGATTCTCTCTGAACTGCCTGGTCTTTTTAATGTTTAATGTCAACCATTTGTGCAGATAGCATGAAGTAGAAAAGATCGGCGATCGCCAATGTAGCGTAAGCATTTCTCCCCCGGGCTTAAATTGTGTATTATAGAATGATCACACCGGTGTGACAGTACTCTTCAAAGGGTTCACGAAATATGACTACTACTCTTACTGTTTAACATGTTGGGTTAATTAATGTTACTTCATATTAAGGCTAATACAAATGACAAGGCTGTAATGCTAACTAACGTGCTAGCTACTAGCTAGGTAGCTAACTTGATCCAGCCACTCCTGGTCCTTTGAAAAGACGGGAAGCGAAAGAACGAGCAAGACTGCTGGTATGATAACAACCTGGTAATAAGCACACAGGCATCTTGTTAAAGTTATCTTATCTTAGCCAGCGCCATATAGATAGATTATATCTATATGGCACTGATCTGAGCTATCTCTTAGTGGAGGAAAACAGTTATGACATCACTTACGCGACTCTGGGATTTTTAGTCTTTCTAGTTGCGTATTTTTCATAGTCTTATATTTCAACAGTTTTACAACAAACTGTGACTTTTTTGACATGGAAATTATTTGTTAAGATTGACAAACATCATGTGTGATTCATGGCACAATTAAAACTGGATCGAAAGATACGTTTTCTCTCTCCATTGACTTCAATACATAATTTTTCCGAAATAAAGTCCCATGGACCGGAAGTAGATGGGCGTGACATCGCCACTCTATACATTACCAACAACCATTATTTGAATCACAAATAATGCATGTGTCAATGTAATGAGTATTATTTACTTTAACAAGGTAAATAGGCTAAAAGAAAAACATGTTTTCCAAAAGAACTACGGATCTCTTGAATGACAATATGCCTGCACTGCACCTCCAATCTATGCCTGTGAGCGTGCTGCGCGAGCCGAGATGATGTGTGTGCATAGTTGAACCTTTTCATATTTACATTTGTAGCATTAGAGGGCTGCTACTGAGTGTGTGTGTGTGTGTGTGTGTGCAGGCCCGGACTGGCCATCGGGAGGACCGCGAGGTTTCCTGTGGCGCGCGAGAGAGAGAGAGCGCGCGCACCGGTTACTTGTATTGTTGTTAGCACTGGTGCTAGCTAGCTACGCTAATGGATTTAAGGAGATGTTTCAACAACAAGGTGGAGGGAGAGCTCTACTGTCAGACTGAGAGCCTCTGATAACTATAGCTCAGGTGCCAAGGGTAATAAAAAAAAAAAACTCGTAAAAAAAAATGGTCAAAGTACTGGCAGCAGCGGCTGACAAACAAAAACCCTTAAATTAAAGTAAAATACTTTAACTGAAATAAAGTGAATAAGCCATTAATTTACAGGAATAGTCCTTAACAATTTTACAGGAAAACACTGTAATCTTAAAGATTTATCGTCTCTTTTTACAGTCAATAACCTTTAATACAATTACAGCACTAAAACTTCTACGTGCAAAAATCCGTAAAAAAAATGTCAAAATGACTGCCAAACAAAAACCATAAAATTAAAGTAAAAATACTTTAACTGAAATAAAGCGCAAAAGCAATTAGTATACAGAAATTGTCCTTAAAGATTTTTAGAGGAAACTTTCCTCTCTTTTCAAAATCCATTGTCTTAAAATGTTACATTAAAATACCTTGAATAAAGTTCTGATGAGAAAAACAGTTTTACATTTTTTTTTATTAGATTTGTATGATCAAACACTAAAATAAATACAAAACCTAAAGTTCTACAGCTAGAATACTGTTATCTTACAGCTGTTTGTTTTTTTACAGGTTCAACAAAATGACATCACAAAATGTTCTGTAGGAAACAATTACTCTGAAAACTTAAAATATAAAAATATTTGTAGAATTATAGTCCAACAAATGAATACAGCATTTAATATGTAAACACCATACTTATAAACAGTAGAAACAAAAAGTAAGTTGAATTTTTTTTGAAACATTCTCAACTGAAAATAACAAAAATTGCAAAATGGCGACATATGTTCACATTGTCAATTTGAAGGAGCAGTGTGCAGGATTTAGTACGTCTAACAATGGTAGGTTCCAACCAATGGATAACTTGTTCATTCACCCTCCTATCCCAAGTTTGTAGGAGAATGAATATTGGCTGCAAAAAACTCGAGGCCCAATCATGTTTCCTCTGTCCATTCTGCGCTACTGTAGACGTGGCAGTGCAACCTAGAGGACAAACAGATCAGAATCAGAAACAGGTTTATTGCCAGGTAGGTTCACACGTACGAGGAATTTGACTAGGTGTCGTACAAATAAAAATCTAAAAAAGTACACAGATATTAAGAACACTGTAATAAAAATATAGTAAGATAGAAATAAAATAAAGCAGTAATTTACATACTATTACTATTTACGAAATAGAATGCAATAAATCATAGAATATAAAATATGTGCTGTAAGCAATATTTAAACATTGCATTATTTACCATCCTGTGATCTCCATTATGTAATGCATAGAGTCTGCGTTGTGGCTGAGGTAACGTGTCAGTGGGGGGGCGGGCCTTGTTGAGGTGGCGATAGGTTCTGGTCCTGATGGAGAGAGGTTCTGGTCCTGATGGAGAGAGGTTCTGGTCCTGATGGAGAGAGGTTCTGGTCCTGATGGAGAGAGGTGTTGGTACTGATGGTGTTGGTACTGATGGAGAGAGGTTCTGGTCCTGATGGAGAGGTTCTGGTCCCGATGGAGAGAGGTGTTGGTCCCGATGGAGAGAGGTGTCGGTCCCGATGTAGAGAGGTTTTGGTCCCGATGGAGAGGTTCTGGTCCCGATGGAGAGAGGTGTTGTTCCCGATGGAGAGGGGTGTTGGTCCCGATGGAGAGAGGTTCTGGTCCTGATGGAGAGAGGTTCTGGTCCTGATGGAGAGAGGTGTTGGTCCTGATGGAGAGAGGTTCTGGTCCTGATGGAGAGAGGTTCTGGTCCTGATGGAGAGAGGTTCTGGTCCTGATGAAGAGAGGTTCTGGTCCTGATGGAGAGAGGTTCTGGTCCTGATGAAGAGAGGTTCTGGTCCTGATGAAGAGAGGTTCTGGTCCTGATGGAGAGAGGTTCTGGTCCTGATGGAGCGCAGCCTCCTGCCAGAGGGTTATGTTGAAGGCAGAGCTGAAGTCCACAAACAGGGTCCTGGCGTATGTTCCTGCTGTGTCCAGGTGCTGGAGGAGGAAGTGAAGTGATAACTATTAGTAAACCATAATGATGGATGTTATTATCAGCAGCTGCCAATAGATCCCCTAAATCTTATAACACACACACACACACACGTTAATTTTACCTCGAGCAAAACTTGAGACTTGTTTCTGAAATCCCTTTCTCTTAAAGTGAATAAATAAATAAAAACACAATGGAACTTACCCTAAAACTAACCACTGGGTTGCTTGTCTAACATGACCTAGTCCATAAATGAGGTAAGGGTGGGAACAATAAAGCGCACCCTCCCAGGCACTGCGTGTTAGCGAAGTACAACTGGGATTTCGAAGACAAACAAATTGAGCACTTGAGTTTCCATTAGCAGCGCCTAGCTACAGCTGCGGAGCTTCGGTGAATACCGCTAACAGTCTATTTCCTTAAAATTGTACATATCGCTGAACCTATATTTTCATCTTCAAGTGATTACATCTGCATAATGTCCCTGGACAATAAGATTCGAGCATTTTGTAATCCAGTGAGGAAATTCAAGACCAGTAAATATTGATTGATTAAACAACACTAAATAAAATGTTAGTGTTTTCTTCAAACTCAGACTCTCTGCTGCGGCTGTACCTCAAAGACAAAACAATTGTCTGATGATCTTTGTTGAACAAGGTCTGATTGTCCTGTACATGTACAATGTGGGGTATTTTTAAATACTTTACTAAACCACATTCAATATTATGTTAGACACAAGTTAGTCATTACTTACATATCAAAGTATTTTCATCTGCAAGATGGAAGAATAGCTGGGTGCTGCCTGGAGAAACTGACGAGGAGCTGGCGTAAGCAGCTTTCCACACAAAGCCATCACATCTTCTCTTCCATGGTCCTCACTGTCCACTGGTGCTCTGTCAAAAGAGTGAACATCACAGCTGTCATGTTAACCATTTGTTACACAACATTATGGATGGGAACAATTAATCGAATATTCGAAATTATTCAGGTATTCAAATAATTATTCATGTGTTCAAATATGAGTTATGAATTATTATTTTTTTGGGAGTGATGCCTAAGTTGATTACATATTATCAAATTGAATAATTGAATAATTCAATGTATATATATATATATATATATATATATATATATACACACGACAGTGCCATAGCTAAATGTGTTAGTTGACGTCTAAAAGGTGTGTTTTGCTCCGCTCACCGGTTCCTCACAGCGGGCAGAGCTGCAGGTGCTGATCTCTCTCTCTCTCTCGCGTCCGGTTATACTTCACTCGTGTTTATGTCCAAATCCATCAGATCTAGCTAGTTCTAGCTAAAGATATGGCTGCTGCCCCTCCCTACACGCAGATCACGCAGACTCAAACCAAATGTGGCGCAAATGCGCTCCGCAGCCGTTGCGAGGTTACGGCGCTAACAGTTCATGAGCGTGCTCCCCCGCCCCCTGTCAACACTCGCGACACATGAGTGGCCAGCCTAAACAACAATAAGCGCTGCTTGGCAACCGTGTGTGGCGGCAAAGTACATAGACATTTTGACTGGAGAGATTTAGTTTTGCCGGTATTCAACATATTTTACCAGTCATAGTCCGGTAATTATTTACACTAAGAAGAGTCCTACACAACAGACATGGCGTCAAAAAGGAGTAATATTTCGACCAGGTTAGTGAGTGCGGTGTAGAGGTCAAACTATGCCAAATTAAATTATATATATATATATAATTTCTATAATTATTATTATCTATAATAAAAATCTCAAGGCACACCTATTGTGCAAAATAGCCCTTATAACACGTGTTATCACTCATATCATGTAAAATATCTGTAAATGTGCATAATTATTTACTAATGCCAAATAAAATGTGACAAAGACAACTATATTACTCGTGAAATATTTCAGAAATTAATTTGAAACTTTATCAAATTAGGCTTCATCAAAGCAGCAACACACTCATTTAAACCAGACAGGTCACAACATTAAAAATGAGGCAAAGGAAACCCAGCAGAAATTCAGCACAGAGAACTGTCAATGCAAGGCAGCTGCATTGTCCATGGTCCTGAACTACAAATTATAAATTATAAATGTATTACTTTAAACGTGATATAAACAAACAACAAATAGCGTGTGCGTTAGCTTCACCTTAGCATGTGTTCTTTGCAGGTGTTGTTGAGGTTTGACCACGTGGTGTTTCCAGCAGTGGATAACAGCTTCTGGCCTGGACACAGTTTGCACCTCACCGTCACATTCCTGTCTATTCTTCGGACAAACTCAAAGTAATGGGCATACCTCCACCCCTCGAGAGTTATCGCTGACTCAGCCATGTTTATGCAGCACTTCACGTGGAGATGTGGACGCACAAGTCGCGCAGATTACGTACATATAAACCTACAAAGTACTGATAGTAAATTAAAAAATAATTATTTTTGTGTAGTTGTATATTGCAAGAATAACGTATGGTTGCACAAAATCCCACGGCACACCCGGACTTGCCTCGCGGCACACCGTTTGGGAACCACTGTGCTATACCTTGCTATACCCGCAACCTCCGTTCCAGCTGAGATGGTCTTCTCTACAGCTGGGCTGATTGTGAATCGCCTCCGCACATGAAAGCTGTAGGCCTATAGCTGTCAAACTGTGATCACCAGTTCAATACATTTGACAAATTCGACTTGGTTTCTACACTTATTTGAACATGTATGTTTTTAGTTCCAAAAATTATTGAAAAAAAATTGGGTAAAAAAAAATACAAAAAAAATACTTTTTGGGGGGTCGAATATACATTTGCTTTCAAATTCCCATCCCTACACAACATACAACCAACATGTGTCAAAAGTGACCCGAATTAGTTTTAATTGTAAATATATTTGCAATACATTACTTTAACCATTCAGGATTCCAGGTATTCCTCAATTAACCTGTTTTGGATCAACACCAATTCTTATTTTTCCCTTTCTTACTTTTTGAATAAAAATCATGTTTTTATCACTACACTTCTAAGGCACAACATGGGTCAAACATTACCTGTATTATTTTGCTATGTTATTTCATGCATGGCTGAGTGTTTCTTTACTATGCATTTTCAAAAATAATTACTTTTAGCAGTGATTTGGACCAAGCATGTATGATGTAGTAATACAAAAAGTATTTTAGTTCACACAGTGTGACATTAGCTAGTCATGTTAGCTTGTAATATATAGAGCAGAGCTAACTAGCAAGTTAGCCGAACATTAGCGGTTAGCTGTTTATGCTATGCTAGCTGTTGGCTACTGAACATTAACAAACTAGATTCCGCTGTAAGAAAGCTGTGAAACTTTACATTAAACTTGGCGACAACACTGTGACACCCCGCTGCATGTTTATGTGTAATTCTCCCGTGTTGGAGACGAGAGGGGGGGCAGCACTGCAATAAACTGTAAGCTAATGTTAGCTGCCACCTGTTAAGCCGGGTTTCCCGGGAGCACCAACATCTTGCAAGAAACAGCATCTCAGGGCTTCTTAACATTTAACAACCTATTAATTATGCATACCAACTTAACGGGAAGAAACTCAGCTAACTAGAAGAAGAAACGTAACCTTAAATACAAAATAAAACATTCACAAACTAAGGATTATCTAAATACATGATTAACTCCATTACAGTTGCGGGACTCACCAGATCTCAAGTCTTCTGTTCTTTGTTGACGTCCCGATGCTCATATTTAACCTGTAGATGTAAAACGATCCCGATATTAATCCATAAACTCCTGCAGCAGACATACAGACAGCTTGGAGGAGACCCGCAGGCGCTGACAGTTCTCATTGGCAGGTTTATTTGATTACGTTTATATTAACCAATCAGGAGTGTTGTGGACTCATTCCAAACATGCTTGACTTGTTTGCCGTGTTTTGGCTGAATTCTATTTCAAGTGCCGTAGCTCTGGCTGTCTGCCAGAATCCGAAAACCATACATTATACTGTAAAACTAAGGTTTATTACTGGTTACATTGACCAATGGAGAAAAAAAAAACACAGCAACAGAACACATAAATAAAACAAGGATAACTGTGACTTATTGTTGAGTAAATAACAGTGTGTGTTTAAACCTTGGTCCTCCCTGCAGAGATTTCTCCACTTTCTATGATTTTTATTTTATTTAATGATATTGTCAACTGTAGATGTTTACAAGTTAGGAATTTAATGAAAACATATTTATTTACTTTTGTTTCAACATTGGATATGTTATGTTTGTGGTGGATTCAATCGAATATTGAGAAAATGATTTATGTAAAAATGTGTTACATTTAAAAAATATATATATTTGATGCTTTTTTTTACAGTTTTATGTTTACCTTAAAATTACAAAGAAATATCTTAAAGTCTTATAATAGTAATACACTTTTATATTACAAGTTACATATTTAATTACAGATAATACTTTTTATTTTACGTACATCTGCATGTATTTTCTGAAAGTGCAAAAATACTGTAAATATTATATAGTACATTTACTGTAAAAAAAAAAGAAGGAAATAAACATTATTTGTTGTTATCGTCAAAATACTTAAAATAATGTTTTGGCTTGTTAATTTATAGTTAATATCTGTCATTTTACAGGATTTTGCAAGTTATTTAAAAAAACATGATACTTACTATAACAATGTACAGTTATTTCCTGTAAAATTACGATCTTTTTTTACAGTGTGAGGTTAAGGACTCTCTGAGTGTTTAGATGGGCAAGTTAACTTAGTCAGTTATCTCAGTTGTTCTCAAACGGTTTGGTCACCATTTATGTAAACACATATTTCCATTTGAGGGGGTAGTGAATAGTGATTAGAAAAATATGCATGAATAAAAAGAAAGAAAATGTTAACTAGGTGAGAAAAAAGGTAAGATACACTTTTAAAGTCTTTGCTGGTGCCTCTAAGAGGAGCAGGGGGAGAGGAGGGAGACAGGTTAGGCTGATTCAGGAGGGGAAATACATAAATAAACAAGTTTCAATGTTTTGTAATATTGGATATGGTATGTTATTGGTTATGGCCATGTTCTTATGATTTTATGATTATTTAAATACAGTTATGTTTCATATGGGTGTTTCCATATCTAGTCTATTTATTTTCCCCTCAAAGTGCACCAGATTAATGCATTTAACTCCAAAATAAAAAAATATATCTTACATGGATAGGTTCCTAAATACATTTGAACATTTTTTTAAATACATCCATGTGTTTATTCTGGGGTAGTAGATTTAAACTATAGGGCTATCACTATGGGCTGCAACGCTGTAAATATTGACAAATAAATCCATCAAAATGGCACAAAAAAAAACTGGTAGTGGCCTGGGTGGGTGTATAATGTTTGCGTGTGAGCGTGCGTACGCACACGTTAGTTTTAAAGACCCCCATAGAGCTCAGTTTATAACTCGAACCCTGGTTATATATATATATATATATATGTATATATATATATATATATATATATATATTATACAGAGTTGATACCTGTTTAGTTGTGTCTTCATAGTGGGGAGGGGCTGACCCACGTGTTTTGGGTGACGTCATGTTTCAGAGGGTGATGTGCGCCGGAAGTAAAGCTGCAGGAGGTCCAAAGACCGGAAGTGGAACGTTAGCATTAGCGGTAGCTTAACTTAGAATCTCTGTGTGTCCCTGATAATGAGTGTTTGACATCATGTGTTAATGTGTTTTTTATTATAGGTGAAGGGAGACATGTTTTATTATAGCTTGTCTAGACTATTATTTCTATAAGCTTTGGGAATATTATGTATATTATTTATGTATGCAAAAGTTATCTTATATTGATTGTATTTTGTTTATTTCCCTTAGAGGAAAAACCACACACACAGACACACACACACACACATATCTGTATGTGTTGCCGACACACTGGGGTGAACCTAGTGATAGACACAAAACTAGTGCCAACACTGAGTTATCTCTAACGGCCCGTCCACACAGCCGCGTTAAAAAATCTTCCAACGCTTCTGCCCATTCACTTTGAATGGAGTGACGTCACGTTGCCTCACTTTTCGCCGAACTGCATTGTGGGAAGCAAAGCGAAGATTTCCAGGATTTTCAGGATTCAAAAGTTGAGCAATGTTCAACTTTTGAAGCTGAGGTGAAAGCGTCAGCCAATCAAATCCCGTTTATGCATATCTGAGAGTACAAGCGCTAGCCAATCAAACCACGTGCAAGCTGGGAGAGCCAGACCACCGCAGTTCATTTTCTACATTCCTGAAAATGGAGGAGAAATTAGTTATTGCGGTAGCAAATAACCCGGTTCTTTATGACCAGTCCCTATTAACTTACCGGGATACAAACCGGAGGAACCAGGCATGGAGGGAGGTCGCAGAGACAGTGGGTGAAACTGGTAGGTTTTCGCCTGTTTGGGGATTTTATATCCAGTTTACTTCGTTTTAACATTGCTATTGCTTTGTATGTCGGGGGCGAGAGATTCATGTGATTGGTTGTTGGTCGCGTTGCTCGCAAAAAATCCCCAAGCTTCAGACACGCCCACCTTCAAGATTTTCAAGATGTTTTTAACACGGCTGTGTGGACGTACCGTAACTCTCCACTACACTATCAGAACATGTCAAATCTTGAGGTCAATATAATGTTTCGTCTTTTTTTAACACATGTTGTAATATATGTTTTATTATAGACTTACTGGCTGTGACCTCTCAGCAACTCACTGGGAAGTCGTGGCCTCAGCTCTGAAGTCTGACCCCTCCCATCTGAGAGATCTGGACCTGGGTGAGAACCCTCTGCAGGATTCAGGAGTGAAGCGTCTGAGTTCTGGACTAAAGAGTCCAAACTGCAGACTGGAGGCTCTCAGGTCAGTTCACTGACTGCAGTTCATATTGATCTGTTTGTGTTTATGATTTTCTGAATTTGAACAAATACAATGTTATTTTTATTTGTTCCGTTTCTGCTAATGACTGAATATTGATCAGAGTAACAGAGAGAAGGTGAATGTGTGAGGGAGAGAGTTTGAGCTTCCACAGACTCACCCTGTGCTCCAGGAGTCAGTGGAGATGCTGTCAGTACTGAGGAGCTGTGAGGGAGAGGAAGGAGTTGTTCAACATCTGATCAAAGTTAAAGTTCCAGATTATCAGTGGATTGTTTCTGCATCATCTCTGACATTAAAACCCTGTTTAACTGTGAACAGATTATTAAACCTGGAGTTATTTCAAACAGGAACTTTGTTTTCTAAAGTTATCCAGAGGTCGCGTTAACCGAATATTTTCCGTCAGGGACGGATTTTTTCTAACAATGACGGAAAAATCTGAAAGCAATCCGTCATTTTGACCGATTAGAACACAACTCGGAACAGCGCCAAAATGTTCACCAACGGCCCACATTATATTACATCCTTAGTGGCCAGGTCAACTGAGGGCGATCTACTCTACTGTAGTCTGTAACTATTATTTAGTCATTAACACCCCTGTCCAGTTGGTGGCGAGTGTGTGTATATTAAGTAGCTATTGTCTAGTCTTGTTTTTGACCTCGTTGATTAACCGGCTTTAGCAATCGCAAAATGTCACGGCAGCTGATCGTCCGAAGCTTTTTTAATGAGCCCAGTAGTTGTGATGGTGTGGATAAACGAGGTGAAAAAAGAGGGATTGATGCGGTGGAGGATGAAGGACAAGCCAGTAAGACTAAAACTGACAACGTTCAGCCAGCGGCAGAGGGGCAAGCAAGTGGCAAGGAGTTCAAGCGGGAGTACCGGGTTCAGTGGGAGCAAGAGTTTAAGTGGCTGAGGAGGGAAGACGGCAAAATGTTCTGCGACATCTGTAGAAAAGCTAAGATGAGTAACGGATTTGTCCGAGGGTGCACGACGATGCAGAGATCAGCATTCAGGCTAGGCTACAGCAGGTCAATTGAGTTGTTCTTGTAAATGTTTTGTTCATATTTTGATTGTAATTGTCTCATTTAAAACGATGGCATTGTTCATATTTGCCTGTTTAGGCACAATGGTCGTGGTGTTTTTAGCGGCCTCTGCCCCCCTCTGCTGTGCTGTCAGTGCAGGAAAAAAAAATCCTTAGGCGCACCGCAGTACTTTTCCCACTTTAGTTCCGATATAGTTCAGAAATGTTGAGTTCAGACCAAAAAGAGCCGGAACTAAAATTAGTTCATGAGAACCTTTTCACCCCCTTTTCAGTCCCTGCTAGAGAGCAGGGAGAAAAAGGTTCCTATGTCTGATTGGTTGGGCAGATTGCAAACCACGCCCCGTAAAACTCCCAAAAAGTTTTGTGAAGCCGCCATTTTATTATCCTCGCATTAGCATTATTAGCATTAGCATTAGCCCAGCACAGAAACGCAGAGAGACTAACTTATGGCAACACAAAATAAAACATGGGAGCGGTGGAGATGAGGAGGTGTCGGCGTTCTGGCGATTTACTCGGAAGGCTTCAGAAGAAGCTGCTGGGAGTCCCAGCAGCTTCTACTGAAACCAGTCCCCAACTCCGGGGACTTTCCGGCCGGGGACTTTGGGCGGCAGTACACGCCGTGAAGTGGTTTGCGGCCTGCCAGTAAACCCAAAGCAGAAGAAGAAGAAGTGATGTCAGCGGCTTCATTTGCCTAATCCTCCCTCAGGAGCTTATTCCGGTGTGAACGCGATCTGTACTTAGTTCATGAGAACTAAAGAGTTCTCATGAACTAAGTTCTCATGAACCTTTGTGGGAAAAGTACTGCGGTGTGAATGCGCCTATTCATGTTCGTGTTGACATGAAAAGTGACCACACGGTCAGTGTCTCTGTTCATCTTTTTTTTTCTCCATGCCCTTAAAAGTTCTGTATGAATCATTAAAAAATAATGAATGAATGAACATTTGCTGCTCAGTACCCAAACATAAATATTAAATATGTCTCATCTCATCATTAAAACATGAAAAATAAAATGACGGGTAATAATGGATTATGACGGAAATGTTACGATCCTGTCCGTCAAAATGACGGACAACGAAAAAGTCTAACGCAACCACTGGTTACATCATGTTTTCTTTCTTCAGACTGAGGTGGTGCAGTTTGTCAGAGATCAGCTGTTCTGCTCTGATCTCAGCTCTGAAGTCCAACATCCATCTGAGACATCTGGACCTGAGTGAGAGCGCTCTGCAGGATTCAGGAGTGGAGCTGCTGAGAGATCTTCTGGAGAGTCCAGACTGCAGACTGGAGACTCTCAGGTCAGTTCACTGACTCTGTCACTGCTGGAGATCTCACATGATCACTTTCTAATTGAACCTCATTTATATTCATTAATAACTTACATCCATAGAGTTGTAAATGTCTTTATATTCATATTTCCTTTTAACGTACTGAAGTAAGTGGCGTTTTTATATGTACAAAAGTGGTGGGGCACAAAAAACGTAGGTGTTTATATATAAGCTTCTGCAGTGACGTGCAGTGAGGTTCATGGCTGCTGAGGCACTGACTCTTCAGGTTTACAAATATTATATTTTGACCTAAATCAAAATATTATATTTTTTTCAAAAGCTTTTTTTTGTCTGATGCTTCGATTAATTTTAAACAGACAGTTCAACAAAAGGATACCCACAAAATTTAATTTTATAATTTAAATATTGAATTGTTCTCTCTTAGTAAGATCCCATTTTCAATAAAATGGGATCTTTCCTTGACTTGAAGATGAAGTCCATTTGCCTATCCTTCTGGACAAAAATCTCAACGACGTGTCACTGCACCCCTCTATAGGCTGCTCTCTCTCGTCTCCTCTTCACACACTAGTACTTACAGCCAATCAGCTCTCTGAATTATGAGATTACGTTTGGTGGGGATGCAAGGCACACGGCCCCTATGGTGATTATGTTTTTGCCGCACACATTGAATTGAAAAATACTCTGAGCATGCGCAGTGTAGTTTTTACAGGACCCATTCACTTAGACAGTGAGAGAGAGCGGCTAGATCGGGGCTTGACCCACATCGCTCAAAACGGCTCAATAGACACACTGTAGACACTAATTAGAAAAATACAGACTAAAACAGCAATGTACAGAAGAATCAGATGATTAAACATGATCTTAAAATATATTTGAAGATGTATTTTTTTTGCATTTTTTTTGTAATTCTTTTTTCTGCTGACACTAGGTGGGGCTGTGGCCCTAATGACCAGTCGCCTTTGAGAACTGCAGACATACATGTTGACTGTTTCTGAAAGGTGACCTATCATGCAAAATGGCCATACCTTATATAGGTATGGCCCTACAATATATTATTCAAATATAGCATGATAGGTCTCCTTTAAAGTGCATTTAGTGGTGACCGCACGTTTGCACGTCCTGCTTTAAAGCAGATGTGTCTCTTGGCGTAAAGAAGTGGAATTATTTGCTGAATGATTTAAAGGGCTGTAAGAACATTTTTATGTTTAAGAAAATGTATAAAGAAAGCGTAATTAGACAGTATGAAGTTGACTTTTGATTGTGTTGTCTCACACACAAAATGTTCCTTGGAAGAGCTGTGTCCTTTTGTAAGGCATGCTTCCAGTCTTTGAAGCCTTTTACGGTGAACGATGCTTCATGATGATGAGCCTTAAACTTTCTGCATGGGAAATACGCAGCCTCGCCTTTCACGGAGTATTCAAGCCAGGGTCGGTGTTGGTACCATGAGCTGGAAAAACTACGTTTGTTTCCCGGAGAAGAGCCGAGAGGGGAAACTATCCAGGAATTCCTGTTTTGGTTTATCCACGCCAAGGTCCTCTGGAAGTAGAAAACTAACATCTCCAAGATCACACAGACTTTCATTCAGAGTTTCATAGCTAAATAAAAACATGATATTACACTAATCTTTCAACATAGTTTAATACAAAAAATACATATAAGGACAAAGCCCTACAAATAACAACACTAAACATAATAATACAACAATTTAATGTTTTCAATCAGCCCTGATTTCTCATTGGCCCAAATCCTGGATGGGGGGACCCCATACGTTAATAACTAACATCCATAGAGTTGTAAATGTCCTTTTATTCATGTTTCATTTTTAAGAGTAAGAAGTAAGAACTGCAGACATACATGTTGACTGTTTCTTAAAGGAACTGTAATAGATGTTAGTAGTTCAAAGTAAATCTCTGTATTTAATATTTAGTAAACGATAACGTCTGAATAAAGGTCATCTGAAGTCATTTTAGTTTTACATTGTGGTGGGAATTTATTGATCAAATGCAGATGGAGAGTCAAAGCATTCAGCTCTTTGTGGTATTTCATTCCTTGAAGAAAGTTCAGTCGGTCACACAGAGAGCACACAGTCTGCAGAGAGGAAGACGAAGAGTAGAGTTTGGATTGCATATTTAAACACAGAGAGAAGAGAAAGGGAGGGGGAAGCTTGGTGATGATGAAGGAGCATTCTGGGAGTCAGGGAGTTAGGGAGGCCGTATCAGGAAGTTCTCAGCTCACCTGAGGTGAAGGTCATACTGTTGGTGCACAGAGAGAGTCACTAACAACACTGCAACACATCTTCTCAATAAGGACTTTCCCCAAGCTTAGCTAAGAAGTGGGAGAAGTAGTAAATATAGATAAACATTAGCAAATAAGAATCACACAATAATATTATTAAAGTAAGTGAGTATAATATGTTTCTATTACATACATGATAAAGTTCACTTTCTGAAGTAGACACATTTTTCTGTTCCCATTCATTTAAATGTTGAGAAACATCTGATTGGATTATAAACAGATGTTTATCCTCATCATGTTTTCTTTATTCAGTCTGAGGTTCTGCAGGTTGTCAGAGATCAGCTGTTCTGCTCTGATCTCAGCTCTGAAGTCCAACATCCATCTGAGAGATCTGGACCTGAGTTGGAACGCTGTGCAGGATTCAGGAGTGGAGCTTCTTCTGGAGAGTCCAGACTGTAGACTGGAGACTCTCAGGTCAGTTCACTGACTCTCTGTTACTGCTGGAGATCTCACATGTTCACTTTGTAATTTAACCTCATTTATATTCATTAATAACTTTCATCCATAGAGTTGTAAATGTCCTTTTATTCATATTTCATTTTTAAGAGTAAGAAGTAAGAACTGCAGACATAAATGTTGACTGTTTCTTAAAGTAACTGTATTAGATGTTAGTTGTAAAAAGTACATCTATGTATTTAATATTTAGTAAACGATAACGTCTGAATAAAGGTCATCTGAAGTCATTTTAGTTTTACATGAGTAGTATAACTGATGTCCCTTCCATCACATTAGTATGCATAAAAAGTGACAGGTGGGTCCACCCCCAATTATGCTAATGAGCTAAGTCCCGCCTCCTTTTGTTCGAGGTGTGATCACATGTAGGTGTGATATCAAACGTAGGTGTGAGATCCTTTGATGTGAGGGGGGAGGTGTAACCACACGTAGGTGTGAAATGCCCCCCTGTAGTAGCGCCTTTGTTGTCTAATCTAATTAGCCTTTGATGTCTGTCCTTTGATGTGAGGGTTGAGGTGTTATAACATGCCGGTGTGACATCGCACCGGCATGTTATAAGCCTGTGATGTTAATCTATGTGTTGATTAAGGCAGTCTCTTTGAAGTTGTGTGTGAGCCTGTCTCCCACCGTCCCCCTCACACCCCCTGCCTCACACCCCCTGCCTCACACCGTTTCCTCTCACCCCTTCCTGTCACACCCCCCTTCCTTTGGCTGTGAGGCCAGAAGATAGTGGGGGTGGAGTTAGGTAAAAAAGAAATACGCTCAAACTAAATAAAAAGCCATTCATTTTCACTCACTAAGACACCTAAAAAACTTGTATTGCCCTCTCTAAAATAGATTAGTTTTTTAATATGATTTAACTAAAGATGTTCTTTTTTAAGTTGTATGGCTTGTGAAATAATGTGTAATTACTTTATTAACTATAAGGAAGTCTCTTTTATGAAGAGGGGTAATAATAATTTAAAAGATCTTAATGACCCCCTGATCTTGTATTTTTAATGTTTAATTACTTCACACAACTTTAAAAGCCCCTATGAAGTTGTTGTTAACTAAAGTAAACGTATGCCGAGTCAGTCACCCCGGCCAGAGGCAACACGATTGTCTGAATGACATGCTCGATTTTTTCTTCAGAAACAATTACAACGCGTTAATGAAAAGACTTTGGCTCGCCGACTTCATTACTGAGATTGACCAGACTCTTATTGATAAAGACATTTACACGGATGAATGGAGGATCCGACACCCTTCGGAGGCTTTTCTGCACAATCTCAAAAATTGCAGATGCCTCAAGGAGAGACTTGAAAAGATCAATGCCAAGTTGAAATGAAGATTCCAGGACCACTTTAAATGTTTCGTTTACAATCGTTTCCCAATAACCCGGAATAGTACTAACAGAACGAACGATATCCAAAATGTCTTCCAGTTTACAAACTTCAGCCATTCTGTTTACACGGGGGTCACTACTCATTCTGTTTTCAATCGTCCTCATCACCACACTTATTAAAAGGGTATTGACTACATTCTGATCAATATATACAGAGCGTTTTGCATAGTAGTTCCCCATTTTTATTTTACTTTAAAGAAAAAGTCAATGTATCGGAAAAAAAAAAACTCCCCGTCTGGTTATTAGTCTTCTTTTTCTCCATCCAACTTGGCATGGATCTTTTCAAGTCTCTCCTTGAGGCGTCTGAAATTTTTGAGATTGTGCAGAAAAGCCTCGGATCGCCTTGGATCCTCCATTCATCCGTGAAAATGTCTTTATCAATAAGAGTCTGGTCAATCTCAGTAATGAAGTCGGAGAGCCAAAGTCTTTTCATTAACGCGTTGTAATTGTTTCTGAAGAAAAAATCGGGCATGTCATTCAGACAATCGTGTTGCCTCTGGCCGGGGTGACTGACTCGGCATCCGTTGCATATTTAATAATAATAATTCCTTACATTTATTATAGCGCTTTTCCAGATGCTCAAAGCGCTTTACAAATACACATTACACATATATATTTTTTTTATACATGCAATGGTCACTGTGGACAATACCCACAGGAGCAAGTTCAGGTGAAGTGTCTTGCCCAAGGACACAACGGCTTTACAGACGCAGCAGCGGCGGGTTTTCACCCCTTGATCTGATGATCATTGCACAGCGCACTGCGCCACAACCGTCCTCTTCACGCCTCAAAGTCATCGAGGCGCTTTACAAGTACACATTGAATCATACATGTACTGGTGGGACATTACCCACAGGAGCAAATCCGGGTGAAGTGTCTTGCCCAAGGACACAACGGCCTGATGCAGTGGCGGCAGGAGCGGGTTTCGAACTGGAGTTCCCCAGCACCCCCCTTGATCTGATGATCAGATGCACAGACCACTGCGCCACCCGTCCCTATTTCTTCTCTGTACCGATGTATCACCCTCTCCACAATATCAACCAACACCGATTTCACTGTGTCCATAAACAGAGACGTCTTGGCCCCAGGAGTAACATCAGCAGCAGTAGTACTGCAAGATTCGGGTGTCCAAAATGGTTGTGATGATGGTAGTCCAGGAGTTTGTTCCTGGCTGCAACTCGCGGGGGGAGACTTGGTTTTTCTCAGATCCATGGCTAGTTTTCAACGGTCGTCTTAGTGGGGTCCTTCGTTCTAGATGATTTGCTGAGTGGAGGGTGGGACTTATTGCGTTGAATGGGGGGAGTCATCTGTAGAAATTGAGAGTTTTTAAAAAGTTCTTTAAGCTTTGTAGCTTTTTCATCTATCATTTCCAACCAAGCAGCAAGAGGTCAAATTTAAGAATAAGTAATAGTTTTATCATGATTTTACGGAAAAAGTCAAAAGTATAGTTTGTCAGAAAAAATATATATATGGAAAAGTCATTGTGTACAATAGTATGTTGGAAATACAAAAAAAGAAACTCAATTCATTACAAATTAATGAATATTTTACCCAGTTCTAAAGTTTTGCATCCATTAAAGAAAACCCCATTCCTTACAAAGTACTTCATATTATACCCTTTGTTAAGTGTTGCGTACATCAAAGTGTATCTAAAAATATCTTGGTAGCAGAAAATAACTAAAATATGTAAGGTTATCAGAAAAAACCCTACATTGTTTAACTGAACAAGTGTTTATAAAACGGCCATTAAAAGAAACCGATTTCCTTACAAAGTACTTCATATTCTACCAGTTTTTAAGTGTTGCATACATCAAAGTGTGTCTAAAAGTATCTTAGTAACACAAGAAAAGAGAAAAAAGCCAAAATCTGCCTAGTGTCAGTAAATCAGTGTTAAAATCACAAACTTGCCTTTTAGAGTCACAGTCTTTTACCTAACTCCACCCCCACTATCTTCTGGCCTCACAGCCAAAGGAAGGGGGGGGTGACAGGAAGGGGTGAGAGGAAGGGGTGTGAGGCAGGGGTTGTGAGGGGGACGGTGGGAGACAGGCTCACACACAACTTCAAAGAGACTGCCTTAATCAACACATAGCTTAACATCAAAGGCTTATAACATACCGAAGCAATATCACACAGGCATGTTATAACACCTCAACCCTCACATCAAAGGACAGACATCAAAGGCTAATTAGATTAGAAAACAAAAGCTCTACTACAAGGGTGCATCAAAGGACAGACATCATAGGCTAATTAGATTAGACAACAAAGGCGCTACTAGAGGGGGGGCATTTCACACCTATGTGATTACACCTCACCCCTCACATCAGAGGATCTCACACCTACCTGTGATTACACCTCGAACAAAGGGATGTTCATTAGCATAATTGGGGAGCGGGCCCACCTGTCACTTTTTATGCATACTAATGTGATGGAAGGGACATCAGTTATACTACATACAGTACATGATAAAGTTCACTTTCTGAAGTAGACAGATGTTTCTGTTCCCATTCATTTAAATGTTTGAGTAACATCTGATTATATTATAAACAGATTTGTATGTATCATGTTTTCTTTATTCAGACTGAAGGACTGCAGTTTGTCAGAGATCAGCTGTTCTGCTCTGATCTCAGCTCTGAAGTCCAACATCCATCTGAGAGATCTGGACCTGAGTCTCAACGATCTGCAGGATTCAGGAGTGGAGCTGCTGAGAGATCTTCTTGAGAGTCCAGACTGCAGACTGGAGACTCTCAGGTCAGTTCCTGGACTCGTGACTCGACTCGGACTCGCACACTGATTGACTCGACTCGGACTCGTGAATTCTCGCGCACGATGACTTGGACTCGGACTCGTGAATTATCGCATATGCTGACTTGGACTCGGACTAGTGAAGTTTTCCCCCCACGATGACTCGTACTCGACTCGTAACATTGACGCTCTGACATGGACTCGGACTCGAGCTAATTTTCTCTGGAGTCTGATGTCCTCTATCCTGGCGTGTGCACCTGCGAGGCGAGTTCACGTGTCTCGAGACACAGATGTCTCGAGACACACCCCGCATCATGCTGTATGCTTTCACACATTCTGCTTCCACAATGGAAAAGAGCAGCGCAAAATGCTCGTTATGTGGAAACAATATTGAAAAGAAGGCTCCGTAACACATTACTCTAAGGATCGAGTTCAGACATATAGGCTGTCTTGAACACTATCATCAGGTGATCTAATCAATAAATAAAGATTCAGCCGATAACACAAAAGCACATGGCTACTTAACATGCAGAATGATGTCATTTTGCATGCTAAGTAGCCATGTGCTTTCTGGCTCAGTAAACTGATTTAACAGATAAAAGTTCCTTCAAAATAAGAGTCCCGATCTTATCAACTTTACCATAGGAAAATATTGGCATACATATATAATCACTTCTCTAAAAGGTAACTCATTTTAAATATAGTTTATTTATATATAATAAAATAATAATAATAATATTAATATTAGTAATAAGCTTTATATTTGTATAGCACCTGTTACAAGAATTGTAGCCAAACTCGCTTCACAGCAGTTCAATAGACAGATTAGTATAACATGACAGGATAAAAGCAATGTAAAGGAGCAACAACATTTCAACACATATATCCACGAAGATTAATACATGAAGACTTGCGACTCGGACTTGACTTGGACTCTTCTTAGGTAACTCGGACTTGGACTCGGACTCGAACACAGGTAATGATGACTCGGACTCGACTCAGACACTCCTTGGGTGACTCGGACTTGGACTCGAACTCGAAGAATGGTGACTCGAGAGTGACTTGGACTCGTGAATTGGTGACTTGACTACAACACTGTCACTTTGTAATTGAACCTCATTTATATTCATTATTAACTTACATCCATAAAGTTGTAAATGTCCTTATATTCATATTTCATGTTTACGTACTGAAGTAAGAACTGCAGACATAAATGTTGACTGTTTCTTAAAGGAACTGTAATAGATGTTAGTTGTAAAAAGTAAATCTGTGTATTTAATATTTAGTAAACGATAACGTCTGAATAAAGGTCATCTGAAGTAATATTAGTTTTACATGATAAAGTTCACTTTCTGAAGTAGACAAATTTTTCTGTTCAGATTCATTTAAATGTTGAGAAACATCTCATTGGATTATAAACAGATGTTTATCCTCATCATGTTTTCTTTATTCAGACTGAGGGGCTGCAGGTTGTCAGAGATCAGCTGTTCTGCTCTGATCTCAGCTCTGAAGTCCAACCTCCATCTGAAAGATCTGGACCTGAGTCGGAACAACGCTCTGCAGGACTCAGATGTGAAGCTGCTGAGAGATCTTCTGGAGAGTCCAGACTGCAGACTGGAGACCCTCAGGTCAGTAAGGGGTCTCTGCTGGTTCAGCAGTATTGTATGAAACACAGGGAGGTGTTTCTCTCACTGGGGAAACAGATCAGTGATGTTACCCACTGACTGCAGGCTCTCTCATTCTTCCATCAACTAGAGAAGGCCAGCTGGAAATGCAAAGCCACATTTAGTAAGTCATCAACTTTCCACCAGACATATGGGGTTTGACAGAAGAGTGGAAAAGGTAGTCTGTGTTTGATGGGATGTTTTTAGTTCCTTGACTAATGGCAGGCGCGCCGGATTCATTTTAGAAGTGGGGGGGCCAAAAAAAGTGCGTGTGTATGGCCCAATCCCAAACCACGCCCTTCACCCTACCCCTACACACTCCCCCTCTGTGACGGAGTGAACTGCGTGGAGTGACACATTAAGCTCCCTCCTGTCAGATGGAGGGAGTAAACACAGCAGCAAGCTTTGGGACGGCCTCTCCTCTCTCCGGCAGAAACAGGAAATGCCGTAACTGTATGTAGGCCTAACAACAGTTTCAAATCAGCATCTCTTTGACAAAAAATGTAAATTAATAAATCAAATACAACTCCAAACATCTTTAATTGTGTTACTTTTTTGTAAAGCTATTTTAGTTTTTTTAGTTTATAGTTTCTTAGTTTTTGCAACAGTCTGTAAATATACACAACTTTATAATAAAATGCACACAATTACCTTTTTCTAGACTAAACACAGGTATCATCCTAAATTAAAAAATATATGTGGTTATCATGAGGTTGTTAACATTGCAATTTATCACTATCGTTTAGTGGTTTTGCAAAGAATTAACCACTCTCTGTTGTTGTACCATTCTGCATTGAAGTACATTCTCTTTGCCCAAATAATCTACTAGCGGTCTCCTTTTTTCCGATAGTTAGCTGTACACAGGGCCGCCCCTCCCTACAGGCCAATCACGCAGGCTGCATGGGGCCCTGCCTTGCACAGGGGGCCCCGCCCAGAGGGCCTCAGCTGCTGTGCACAGTTCTCCGCTCAGTTCTCCGCGAGAGTGAGAGTGAGAGGTGAGAAGGGGAGCACGTCTGTAACCCGACACCGTTGCAATGAATCGAGATCTGACCAATCACGGCTTTGATACGGCCACTAGTGCAGGTGAAGAGATGTCGGTGAAAAGACAGTTTCAGTCCGGCGCAAAAAACAAAACATGAAGAAACTAGAGCATCACTCGAAGGTGGGTTATTGTATGAGTCAAATGTACAACTTGCGAATGTTGTATAAGTCAAATTGCCAATTGCCATATTAAAACATCAGCTGCAATTCACGACATGAAGAAGGCAGTCTCTGCAGAGCGTATAGGCTAATGGAGATGCAGTTATTTCCAGCATTCTTTATTTAACATTCATTCATGTATGTGATGCCTTTTATCTGCTAATGTACAGGAGGAAGAGTGATACACTGTCTGTCTACTTGGCTTACATAACAGTTCAAGTTTACAGCTTAAAAAACGTGGAGCATTTTTCCCCTTTTATTCATTTTTATGTCAATTTGCACATTTCATGGTGACGCTCAGCCTCTCCCCTTAACTCCTAACAGTCATCATCATGTCAACAACAACACAGACAAATACTGATAGAAATGTGTGTGTAGTTGTTGACACATTGCTGACAGAGGGAACTAGAATACAGATTTAAGAAATATCAGTTTTGAGCATGTCATAGCATGTTTTGTCTTGACTATATTACAACTATATTATAATAAAATAATATAGTATTTATATTATTGAATTGATTATGATTATTATTATTAGTAGAAGTAGTTTATTTGCATTCATTATATTTTAATCTTTTTGAGGCTAGTATTTGGCAGGAAATGCAGACGTATTCACCTGTAAACGCATACTGAACGACATACATGCACATTTACCATTTACCTCACTGTATACAAAAGTAACTGTGTTGATACTAATAATAAACAGGAATTATATTTGCAAAGTACTTTGTTTCCAAAAAAATGTGTTTCACTCCTGTCGGTTGGGGGGGGGGGCCTCATCTCACAATGTCGCTTGGGGCCCCAAGTTGGCCAGGGACGGCCCTGGCTGTACAGCTTTACCCCATACTTGCCAACCCTCCCGATTTTCGCGGGAGACTTCACTGGCCTCTCCCGGTTTCCTCCCAGGGTCATATTTCTCCCGATTTCTGACAAAATCAGATTTACTCAGGACTGTTTCCACTCGGACTTTAATACAGCTACACCATTGTTTGGTTTCCATAGCGCGTCTCTTTAGCAGCGCACGCAACTGAAAGTCTGAGAGGGTGCAGGAAAATAGTCACAGAAAACAGAACAATAATTGACAACTCTGCTCACTCCTGTCCTTCACATATGCTCCATAAAGGATGGTACAGGCCGCAAGGCAGTGCCCTTACAACTACAATAAGCATGTTAATGTTAATCCAGCTCCGGCGATCCACTAGCACCCCCCCCCCCCCCCCCCATGGTGGTTTTGGAATGCTCCCGATTTCTGAGGTCTCCAGGTTGGCAAGTATGCTTTACCCGCCTCAATGTCCCGACAACAAACCTCCATGCAGTCGGAACCAGCCTGTTTCGGTTCAACAACGGCGGCGGCGGCGGTTTTGACAGTTTCTGCGGCCGCAGAGCTGCTGCTTACGACGCTGAAGTTGGCTTCCGATTCAGAGCATCCGATTCGGCAGTTAAGGGGAAAGTTAAGGGACATTTAATTGACAGCGCTGAGCGAACAATCCTCCGTGTTTGAACCTCTTAAATCGCTGCATAGCTGATTTATTTGGACTGGATTATCCCAGAGACTCTAAAGATTCTTTATAGCACGGTTTTAGATTTGTGAAACCTTAATTCTATTTGTGAAAATAAAAAAAAAGGCAGCAGACGACGTCGTCTGCTGCTTTTGGGTTCATCTGGCTTCACTGTTTGAAGAAGGTCCAGGCTCCGGAGATGTGGATGTCAGGGATGTGACCTTCCAGTTGTTAAATTTAAGTTTAGATTGACTGTATTTAGTTTTCTTCTGCGCTGGTTCTTCTGACATGTTTGCAAGTGTATATATTATATCTAGGTTAACGGCTGACACACACAGAACAACGTAACAAATAAAGTAAACAACGTAACAAATAAACAAATCTAAGCTTTTTTATTGGTTGTAATTTACATGGATACATTAGAATGGTGTGACAATGTCCTATTTGATTGGGTTAAAATGTAGGCCAACATATTCTTCCTGTTATGTCAGCCTGCTTTATTTTAACTAATGCAAAGTGACCTGCTGCTCCATCGAAATCAGTCGCATTGACCCGAAGACACATTTTGATTCCTAGCTTTATAATGATATCAGGATTGTTTTGTAGGCTACTCCAAATATTAAGCAAAATATGTCACATTATATAATGACTGTTACATAGTCATCATTTTGAGAAAAAGGCCTTTAAAGTGTCCTCTTCTCTGGATCGATCTGATTGATTATTAGCGGAGCAAATGATCAAAATACTATGGAGGGAAGATATTTTCGTTTGGATTACTGCACTCACGGGAAACACCGGCTGTTGTTATGCCTGTTGTGACGTTAAGTTACTCCGTTCTCCGCTTGTAATTATGCCGAAGCTTCGAACCTGTATTTATCATCTGAATTTGTTGAAACAAGTTTAATATTCTGAAAGCCAAGACTTTGTTTCTTTGAAATCAGATGAAAACAAACTGTAACGGACCCTGCCGTGTTATCTATGATTACTATACGCCTTACATTCATAATTTCAGCCGGAGGGAGGGGGAGCGGCGCTGTGGAAAAGCAGAGTGGCCAGTGAGAGGCGAGCTGTGTTCGTCCCTTTACAAGCTTAAAAAAATGCGTGTAGCTACTGAGATTGAATATATTAACAATAAAAAATAACAAAATGTACACAGCTAGATCAGATCGCGTTTTAGATGCAACTTTAGAGTAGAGGGGAATTATTGAAACGGGATTTGTACAGTGTTCCGTGCCGCGTATATATACGTGTTTGTGTATTTTTGCGTTTGTGTGTATTGTGTTTGTTTCCCGGGGAAAACACTCACGAGAAACACCGGCTGTTGTTATGCCTGCAGTGACGTTAAGTTACTCCGTTCTCCGCTTGTAATTATGCCGAAGCTTCAAAGTTGTATTTATCATCTGAATTTGCCGAAAAAAGTTTAATATTCTGAAAGCCAAGACTTTGCTTATTTGAAATCAGATAAAAACAAACTGTAACGGACCCTGCTGTGTTATCTATGATTACTATAGTATACACCTTACATTCATAATTTCAGCGGGAGGGAGGGGGGGCGGCGCTGAGGAACAGCAGAGTGGCGAGTGAGAGGCCAGCTGTCATCTTCCCTTTACAAGCTTCAAACATGCCTGTAGCTAGTGAGATTGAATATAACAATAAAAAATAACAAAATATACACAGCTAGACCAGATCGCGTTTTAGATGCGACTTTAGAGTAGAGGGGAATTATTGAAACGGGATTTGTACAGTTTTCCGCGGCATCTGCTGCTGCGAAAATGTGGGGCAGGGCTGAAAAGTGGGGGGGCCAATGGCCCCCCCGCTTCCGGCGCCCTTGACTAATGGCTGTTACTTCCTGTCATGCAGCTGAGAGCTGTGGCAGTCAGTCGTAGTGTTTGCAGAGAAGATATGATGGGATGTAAAGCATGAGATCAGGACTCTGAAGCTGACTCAAAGAACAAACACTTATTTTAAACTGGATCCATAACTGTTGGATTGTGTTCATCCCTACAGGATCAGAAGAGATGAGACGATCAGAGCCACGATCCAGAAGACCTGTGAGTACTGAATATCCTCCATTCATCCAGATATGAGACTCTTTGATGGAGCATGTCCTCAGAGGAAAACAACACTCTGGTTTCTCTCTCTTCATCATTTTGGCTGTTTCTCTTCACAAGAACTGTCTATCAACACAGTGACGCGTTCACTGACACTCTGTAAAATGTAAATAAACTCTGAAGAATAAAACACGTGAAAACATCAACATTATAACCAGTCGTCTACAGTATTATCATCAAAATGTACAAGTAGAAGTACTCAGATCTGATACTTCAGTAAAAGTAGAAGTACTCAGATCTTGTTCTTGAGTAAAAGTAGAAGTACTCAGATCTTGTTCTTGAGTAAAAGTAGAAGTGCTCAGATCTTGTACTTGAGTAAAAGTAGAAGTACTCAGATCTTGTACTTGAGTAAAAGTAGAAGTACTCAGATATTTTTCTTGAGTAAAAGTAGAAGTACTCAGATCTTGTTCTTGAGTAAAAATAGAAGTACTCAGATCTTGTAGTAAAAGTAGAAGTACTCAGATCTTGTACTTGAGTAAAAGTAGAAGTACTCAGATCTTGTACTTGAGTAAAAGTAGAAGTACTCAGACCTTGTTCTTGAGTAAAACAGGAAAAACGTTGTCACCATCAGTGACTGCAGCTCCCCTCCCGCCCCAGTCAACCAAGGTGTACCTCAAGGCTCTGTGCTTGGACCCCTCCTATTCAATATCTACATGCTCCCACTTGGTCAAATCCGCCAACATGGTCTCAGCTTTCACTCTTATGCTGATGACACACAGCTCTATCTCTCCACCAAACCGTCCACTCAGCTCCCCCCTCAATCCCTTGTCAACTGCCTACAGGACATAAAAAACTGGATGTCATCAAACCTGCTCAAAATCAACAGCAATAAAACAGAGCTCATGATTGTGGCTCCCAGGACGCAGCTCCAGAAGGTTGGAGACCTGCTTCTCTCCATTGACGGCTGCTCCATCTCCCCGTCCACTGAAGTCCGCAACCTGGGAGTCATCCTGGACACCACCCTCTCTTTCCAGGCGCCGTCAAATCTGTCACCAAATCCGCCTTCCTACCACCTAAAAACATTGCCAGAATCCGGCCTTCTCTCTCTGACTCTGTGGCAGAAACCCTGGTACACGCCTTCATTACATCCCGTCTGGACTACTGCAATGGAGTCCTGTCCGGGGTTCCCAGCAAAACCCTGGATAGGCTCCAATACGTCCAGAACTCTGCCGCCAGGCTTCTCACCCACACCAAGCCATGGCACCATATCACCCCCACCCTCATCCACCTACACTGGCTGCCGGTCAAGTCCCGGATTCAATACAAAACACTCATCCTCACGTACAAGTCTCTCCATTCCCTCGCCCCCCAGTACTTATCGGACCTCCTCCATCCCTACACTCCTTCTCGGAGTCTACGGTCCTCAGACACGGGCCTGCTCTCCATCCCCCGCTCTCACCTCCGAACTGTTGGTGACAGGGCGTTCAGTGTTGCGGCCCCCACCCTCTGGAATGCACTGCCTGCCGAGATCCGTAATGCTGCCTCCCTGGACATCTTCAAATCATCACTAAAAACACACCTGTTTCACCCCTGGCCTTCGGGCCCTAGCCCTTTTTCTGGTCCCCCCGGCATCCTTTAGTTATTTCTTTGGTTTGCCCGTTGATTGTCTGTTTGTCCACCATGTACAGCGACCTTGGGTCCCTTGAAAGGCGCTATATAAATATCATTTATTATTATTATTATTAAAAGTAGAAGTACCAGAGTGTAGGAATACTCTGTCACAGTAAAAGTCCTGCATTCAAAATGTTCCTCAAGTAAAAGTAGAAAAGTATTCTCATCAAAATATAGTGAAAGTAGAGACAGTAAAAGTAGTCGTTGTGCAGATTGGTCCATTTCAGAATAATATATATGATATGTTTTATAATGATTGATCATGAAAGTGTTCTCAAAGCTGGTAAAGGTGCAGCTAGTTTGAATGGCTTTGTATACTGCAGGGTAGCTGGTGGATTTACTCCAGGTGGAACTAAAGTCTGATTTAACACTTGATTAGATTTCACATCATTCATCCACATCTGTGAAGTAACTAAAGGTGTTAAATACATGCAGTGGAGGAAAAGTACACCATGTACCTCTGACCTGTAGTGGAGTAAAAGTACACCATGTACCTCTGAACTGTAGTGGAGTAGAAGTACAAAGTAGCCTAAAATGGAAATACTCAGGTACAGTACAAGTACCTCTAAATAGTACTTAAGTACAGTACTTGAGTAAATGTACTTAGTTCCTCTCCTGGTCTGTAAAGCTCTCCCAACATATGCAGGTTAGCATCCGGCAGCTTCTATGTGCTGGGGACCCGTACTGTACATGTCTATCATCACACTTTGGGCTCCTCAACATGTGTGGGTTCCCAGCAGGACTCTCTGAGCTGCAGACACATTCTTTCTGTGACTTTGTTCCAGATATTTGGAGCATAATAACTGAAGCTGTTTCTCCATGTTCAGGAACTCCCATCCCCCGAGTCCTGCGGCAGGAAGCGCTCCTTCTCTCCAAGAACTCCTGGACCCTGCAAGCTGGTCCAGAACCAGAGTCCCAGTGAGGAGTCCAGCCAGTCGACCTCTCAGAGTTCAACTAAACTACAACATTATTAAAGATCATGTTTAAAGTTAAAAAAGGATGCTTTCAGACTGAATCCAGAAGCTTCTCCAGCTGCAGTCAAAGCAGATCATTTGAGGAATATATAAAACAATTATAAAACTGTAATAAGAATTACTCTGAATACTTTCTTTGGACATTTTATTTACATTTCTTTTAATCAAATGTTTCTGACTTTCTATCAGAGTGCTTTTCTCCTGAATCAACGACTTCAATCTTCTTTCTTTTCTTGTGTATTTCATAAACAGGATGTTGTTGTTTGTCCTTATATCCTGATTGATGAGTCAGCAGTACAGCAGCCAGGCGGTAACGGTCAGCTGGCATGTGTATCTGTTCATTGGCTCATATGTAGCATGTTTAATGGCAGTGTGTTGAAAATGGCTGACAGGTGGATATGTCAGATCTCTGTGTGTTACTCAGAGAGCCGTGTGCAGGGTTTTAGAAAGTGCAGAGTTGAATTGCAGATTGTGTGCAGAGCTGAAAATGTGTTCAGAGTTCTGTTTGATTGAATCCAGCCAGTGTTGCCGCAGCAAAGCATAAGGGCTCAGAGCTCAGACCTATTGTGTTCACATTATATACGCTTCCTTTAGGCGATAAGGAATCACTCGGGACATTTTCATTGTTATGCAGATGATACTCAATTATACACAATATAGACAAAAGTATTGGACCACCTGCACATTAGAGAGATACCGCAGGTCCTTCCTTCCTGCAGCGGTCAGACTATATAACCACCACGACCCCTAGTAGACCCCCCACACAACAACACAGACTATAACACCCCTTGTTGTTAAATACCAACTATGTGCAATATACATATATATATATATGCCGTTAAAACTGCAATATATATCTGGCTGTTAAATCCTCAGAACTGTTACGGGATGTGTATTTTGTAAAATGTGTAACTTTTTTTTAATGATAATTTATTGTTTTAATCTCTAATACTTTGTTGTCTGCATGCTTTAGGGCAGAGGTTCTCAATTTTTTTTCAGCCAAGGACCCCTTACAAGATAGAGAATACACCAAGGAACCCCTCATTCTGATTTGTGATTTTGGGCTATATAAATAAAAATGTACTTGATTTGACATGTATGTCCCTTGGAATAATCTGACGTAGCCTATTTTTTACACTTCTATAATCTTAGTTATGTGAAAGAACAACACAAGAGAAATGTATTAGAAAGATATTAGATATGTATTAAAAATATTTGCACCATCTCAACACAGAATACCCATAAAACAATCAATCAATTAGCTGCAAGTAACACTGTACCTAAAGAAAATATCAAAGGGAAATCAAGAGAAAAGTGATCATTTGAAGTGCATTTCAGAACACACACACACACACACACACACACACACACACACACACACACACACACACACACACACACACACACACACACACACACACACACACACACACACACACACACACACACACACACACACACACACACACAACACACACACACACACACACACACACACACACACACACACACACACAGGGGTTAAAGTGGGCCGGAACGATCCAGAACAGCGTTCCGGCACCTTCGATTAATAAGTAAATAAATCTGATTGGCAGTTTCATACATAATAATGTCAAGCGAGTTCACAGGGCTGCCAACTCTCAATTGACATTTTTCACACGCTCTCAGCCACAAGTCCGTTTTCTCAAGCAGTGAAAAACAAATTCATAACTGATAATGTCATGGTGCGAAAAGAAGACACTTCTGCACATTGCGCAACAGCAGCACCATGACCATCTGAATAGCGAGAAATATACACAAATGTATTATATTGTAACTTATTCCCATGCATGTTGCTCAAAGTAATCAGTCTCACTTCTGCGTCTCTCCCTCTCCTCTCGCGCCATGCGCACCAGGCAGGAGTGAGAGTGAGTTACCATGGTTACGGGGACGCTCTGTGTCTCTGTCGCTCTGAAACTTCTCGCGATTCCCAATAATACGTTTTTAGTAATATAACATAATTTTACAGTTTTGTTTAACATTATACAGGGTTAATGTTTCTTGATTAAATCCAAAGAGGGCAAGGTGGTGTAGACATGTAGGAAATGTGTTTTAAATTACA